AAAAGACATATGGACCCCTGTGTTTATCACAGCACTGTTTACAATAGCCAAGAATTGGAAGCAACCTAAGTGTCCATCAGTAGATGAATGGATAAAGAAGATGTGGTACATATACACAATGGAATATTATTCACCCATAAGAAGAAAACAAATCCTACCATTTGCAACAACATGGATGCAGTTAGAGGGTATTATGCTCAGTGAAATAAGCCAGGTGGAGAAAGACAAGTACCAAATGATTTCACTCATCTGTGGAGTATAAGAACAAAGGAAAACTGAAGGAACAAAACAGCAGCAGAATCATAGAACCCAAGAATGGACTAACAGTTACCAAAGGGAAAGGGACTGGGGAGGATGGGTGGGAAGGGAGGGAGAAGGGGGATGGGGGGAAGGAAAAGGGGCCTTACGATTAGCATGTATAATGGAGGCAGGCATGAGGAGGGCTGTGCAACCCAGAGAAGTCAAGTAGTGACTCTATAGCATCTTACTACGCTGATAGACAGAGACTGTAATGGGGTATGTTGGGGGAACTTGGTGATGGGAGGAGTCTAGTAAACATAATGTTCCTCATGTAATTGTAGATTAATGATACCAAAAAAAACTCAAAAACCATTTACTGCATGGCCACCACATGCCAGGCACCATCCTAGGGCTAGGGGTATTGGCACATGGAGACAGAGATGGTACTGCCTCTGCGGACTCACGTTCTAGTGGGAGAGGGCAGCAGTCCAGCAGGGAGAAAGGGCACAAAGGCAGCTAAAGCAGGCCCCGGGGCTGGGGAGGAGGGGTGGGCGCACAGCGGTAATGCCTCTAGCAGCCCCAGCAAAGCGAGAACAGGACACAGTGGTATAACATTTAGGACTCACCACCTGGTGGCTGCCTGGGGAGCAGGCCCAGGAGGGCACAGGTGGAGGTGAGGGTGGGGAGAAGTCCCCACGGCCCTGGGGGCTTCACCCTGGTGCTCACCCTCCATCCTGCAGTCTGTCCTGACCTCCATTCGTCTTGCTTGCACACCTGCTCTCCTTTTCCAGAGCAAGCCACGCCTTTGCACACACCCAAGGCTGCCTGTGTGCATCTGGCCCCGCATCCTTTCTCTTTGCTCCAGGCCTTGGCAGGTAGCACTGCAACCCCACAGCCCTAAAGCACACATCAACCCATGGTTGGAGTCTCTTGTCCACCTGTTCGTCTTAATGTCTTTCTGGGTCCCAAGGGCCCATTGGGGTGCTTGACACCAAACTGATGACCAATATGAGTGCTGAAAGAGCAAATGAGCATGAATGAACTGAGTGTGAAACGAGCTGAACACCTATCCGACCGATGCCTCATGGGCCTGCTCCCATCTCATGAAAACAAATGTCTGGTGATGCTTCATGAGCTAGCCACAGTCACACCGCTCCAGCGCGAAAACACTCACTGCAGCTGGGCAGACAGACGGGCTTACCTCATCCAGATCAGCCTTTTTTTTCTGAAAAACAGAGAAATCATGAATTAACATGAGGAGGACTTTTTAGAGTACAGTGTTCACTTCCAGACCCTGCCCCTGCCACAGTCAGGGTACCAGGTGCCCCTCGCTGGAGCTCCTCCCCACCAGCCTGGATGAGGGGCCGGCCAGTCCCCGTGATAGGGAGGAGGGGCAGCGGTGACTGCATGGCCGGCACCTCAGGGCAGCAGTTAGGGCGCGGTGCTTCGGTAGCCTCAGTGGCTATGCCAGGCCTCCCTGGGCTCGGAGGAAGCCCCTTCCCACCACAGGAGCTGGCCTACTGGGGCCCTCGCTAGGTGACCACAGAGTAGCTGGACACAGCCTGCTGCCTTTGTTACAGAGGGGACCCCATTAGGCTCCCAAATCTGATTGTCATCAAAATTACCTGTGGACTTGAAAAAAAAAGATTCAGTTGCACCCAAGATATGCTGAACCAGACTGTCACAGACTGGCCTAAGAACATGTATTTTTATACATGTCAGTGAAGCTAAAGTCCTTCCACAGTGAAAATCGCATGATTAGATATGTGCCTTCAGTGGCTAATGACCATGACTAGGTGCAAGGTGCATGCATGCCACCTAGCTGGTTTCTGGTGTTAATCAGAGCACATAGCCCAAAGCTGTCACAGCAAAAGGATTTCCCCCTGACCAACAGAGGAACACAGAGCCTAGGCCCAGCGGGACGTAAACAGGAGAAGACGTCTGTGTTTGATGAAAGTAACCGACCAGCAGAGGTGGGATGAAGCAGCAGATGAGGGTGGTGCTGGCAAGGAGCTGGGGAACACAACAGCACACAGGCTAGCCTGGCAGAGTGGGAGCCAGGGTGGGAATGTGCCACGCCTCAGGAGAGGGAGTGGCACACGCAGAAACCGACTTCCTGACTTGGGCTTGTGTCTGGGCAGCAGGCGGTCCACCCTGATCTGCACAGTGGGGGGATGGTCACGTCCGGGGAGAGCAGCCCAGGAGAGCGCCCAGCCTGCTCCTGGATGCAGTGGGCTGGACAGGTGCACGCAGAAGAGACCAAGGCAAGTCTCTGGTGTTAATCAGAGCACACGGCCCAAAGCTGTCACAGCAAAAGGATTCCTGGTATTTCAAATACCTTCTTCTCAAATGTCTTACTGGAGGCATGTGTCCTTGATTTTTTTGGGTTCTCTTAACAGAGTCCTGGCTCAGTTTGGGAGCCATCTCCTGAAGGGGGGGAGCAGTGGGAGCCAGGGGATGGCAGCTGGGCGGGTGCTGGAGCGGCCGTCAGCACTGACTCGTGTTATCTTTTTAGTTAAATGAAGGGCTGATGAGAAGAAAGGCAGAGGAGACCGTGCACAAACGGCACGTTGCTTCTAAAATCCCACAACCCAGACTGGTGGATTCCAGGTCTGGGGTGAGGAGGGCAGGGAGCACAGTGGCCTTCCCAGGCCGGGAGGTGGGGCGCCAGCGGGGCCTCAGCCTGGGGCTGGGCCCAGCATCCCACAAAGTCTGGGGCAAGCTGGATATTGAAAAGAATAATGACTGTAATTATTCTAGAAGTGACAACTTCTGAGTGCGCAGCGACACGCCCCTCCCAGCCTCAGAGGGAGACTCGCTGGCCCCTGCTGGAATGACAGGACAATGCCTTGCTATGAAATCTGTTTACTTAGTACTCAAAGGAAGAGAATGAAGCATTCACCCTGCGAACTTCCTAGGAGGGCCTGGAGTTGCTGCCCAGCTGCCCAGCTGATGAGGGAAGGAGAGGGAAGGATGAGGTCTGAGAACAGCCCCCTTCTGCAGTTGTGAGGTGACGACCCAGGCAGGGTCATTGGGAGTCAGGCAGGGAGAGCAGGGCACATACAGCGGCCGAACTCCAGTTACAGGTTACCGGTCATTATCAGGGGAGGAGGGGTTACAATGGCCACGGCTGGCGGCCACGGCATGAACCGGTGACCACAGGGACACACACAGACAGGGGCCACCTGGCCCTGTGTGTGCTTGGATGTGAGGAAACATGCTGGCCATCGCCCATGAGCTATTTCTGCCTTAAGCCGTCAAAACTGAACTGAACCAGGCCTGTGGACCTAAATTCCCATTCGCAGGACACAAAGGGGCCCAAGACAAGGTAAAGGCCACAGGACAACACAGACCAGATGTGGGACGTTCTCTAAAGAACTGGCTGTGCTCTCTACACAGGAGGTAACTTTAAAAAGATGAAATGTTGGGACTGATGTCATGAGCAGCCAGCACAGGCTTTGATTGCCATCAGCTCCAAACCCAGCCCAGACAGGCTGGTCTGTAAAGAACTGTGAATGGCATCGTGGGACACTTGGTGAATTCGGAGTGTGACGTGGGTGTTCCTGGTCTTGGGAAACGACCGCTACGTCTCTTAGGTGTGGCAGTGGCGTGTGTGGTGAGGACAGTGTCCTTGTCTGTAGGAGATATGGACTCAAATTTCCTAACATCTCAAGCTTACTTTCAGATGGTTCTGGAAAAAAGTGAGAGATAGAGAAAGAAGTAGCTCCATGTCAGCTACAGCAAGTCCAGCTGGTGGGCAGGAGCTTGTCCAGTGCCTCACTGAATGGACTCGGTTCTCTCATTCTGCATTTGTAAGTTTTCATAATGACAGGTGATGAGAAACAGTGATAGTGAAGAACACTGGCTGCCCTGGGAAGACCCCCCGGCTGCAGGTCTGCTCAGCTGGGGAGAACGGGGCCCTGCTGGTTATAGACCTGGAGCCCCTTCAGGGCCCTGTGCTCACCTGAGGCCATTGCTATCCTGTGAGGATGGAACTCTCACTGAGCCACCCCAGAGCTTGGGGAAGGAGTTCAGGCCTCCTGCCCCGAGGTGGCACTGGGGACACACTGCTCCTCAGTGTCATTGACTAACGGCAGCTGTCATTCCCTAGCCTAGGGGGCAGCCTTTCTGTCTGGTCAGTACAGCCAGGGTCCCTGGGGAGCAGACTCTTGGGCAGGTTTCCCATCTTCCTAACACATCAGCCCTGCTCTGAGCTGCCTCCTCCCAGGACTCAGACGGCGCTGTGCAGGGCACCTCTCCCCAGCTGGTTAGCGATCAGCCCGCCTCACCAGACTCTGAGCGCAGTCGCATGCTTGGAGTGGACAGGACAGCGCTTTCCGAGTGCACCAGAGTCAGTCTCCCTGAGACCCTGCCACCTCGCCATGTCCTGGCTGTCAGTGAGCCAACACAGGCTTCTGGACAAGCCCCTGCTGTGCTCCTCCCAAGGACGGGCTGAAAGGTAGCCCCCACGGGGTCCATCTTCCACCGTGGCCCAGGTGTGGCCTGTCGCTTGTCCCCATGTGACATCATTTTCAGCTGTGTACATTTTTCTCTCCTACATGGGCCTGCACGTGCGCTGCACCTCCAAGGGAGTCTGCATATCCCCCACACTCGACACATGATGGGATGAGAATGACCAAGTGGCTGGGGCGCCAGGGAGGGTGGCATGATCTGGACCCCTGGCAGCATAGCCGGCCAGGGTCCCACCAGGGCTCACCTTGTGCTTGTATGCCTTCCACCTGGCCTGCAGGGTCCGGGCAGCTGCATCTCTCCTCTGGTCGGAGCAGCCAGAGGGGGTGCAGGGGGCGCCCCCCTCACCCGTGTCCGGCCCCGAGTCCTGTGGGGAGGGCCTGCTGGCAGGACGCGAGGGCCAGGGTTCTGGAGTCTGCAGGAAATTTGAGGCATAGAGGCTGGTTATGTCAGGCAGGTAGATCGCTAACAGGCAAGGCAGCAGGATATTACTTGGTAGGACCAGGCTAAGCTTATCTGCCAGACTTTCTAATTTAGAGGAAAAATCTGTACCCACACTGTTCGGTGTGACAGATGACAAAGAAACCTCCGGGGAGACAAAAGTATAAGCAGTAAACGGACTGAGACTCTATTTAAGGTTTCCGCGGACATCCCTCGCTGTCTGGGGGGAGGCGCTCTCTCGGGAGGAGGGCGGGGCCACGTCACTCCAGAGGCTAACAAGCAGCGTACAGTCTCAGTGACTTGAACATGCTTCCCAAGTTAGGGACACTGCCACACTGTTGTTCAGATCATCTGCTCCTGGGGGTTCTCTTTGGCCTTTCTTTGAGTCTAATGCTGAATTATGAGATGGGACCTCTGCGATCGAAGGCAATTGATGTCAGCTTGGTGTTTAGGGTGGAAAGAAGCAAGACTTGCTACTGTGGTCATCAAACAACACCGACCTCCACCACTTAGGGCCCAAATCCCCCATTTACAAGGACATCTCGCAATGAACATCACGATAGGGACGACATTCTCACATCAGTGATGCAAGCTCAGAGGAGACACGCATCATCACAGGAAAAGCTCTCGCAGAGAGGGACCAGAACGGAAAGCCCAGCTGTGAGAGGACCGGCCGGGCACGCGGGTCCTGTAACTAAGTGCAAGGCCCCGGGTCAGTCCTCTCGCGGGTGCTCAGGCTGCTCACCTCACTTCCTGCCAAGACCCTCTCGGCGTCTCCCTGGGGAGCCCGCCTCCTCCCTGCCAGGCCCAGGCCATCACTAGGCGGAGCTCCAGAAGCCAGGTCAGAACCCACCGCCAGGCCGCCTGGGCCAATGGGAGCAAGGAGGTGGAAACAGTCCCTTAAGAGACACAGCAAAAACTCTTGGAAGACAGCTGAAAGAATTTAAAATTTTGACATCCGTATAAATCCTTCCGGCAACTGCTATGAACTGACACGGAGTCTTCCCAATGAGTCCCTTTTACTTCAAATGGAGATGCTTTTCAGGTGGGAAAAACCCAGGGCTAGTAAATGCTTATGTAAACAATTCTTTCAATACTAACAGGACCCACATAGAAACAGCCATATTTGGCAGTCGTCCATCCGCTTTTCCACAAGTAAATTTCTCTCTAATAAAAAGGAGTCAGTGCTCTAGCGTTCTGGGGAGGGTTCATTTGCACACAGGTCCGAGGCTCTCTCCACGCTCGCCACGCAGGAGGAGGGAGAGATCCACTTCCCCTCTGGGATGGCCGCAGCCATCCGGGCTCCTGACTCACTGCTCACCGTTGGGGGCAAGGCTGCCGTAAAGGCCCGTGCACCTTTACCTTCTCAGGCCCACTGTCTTTATGAACAGTGGGACGCTTGGGATCTGAGATTTGTTCCTGTCATTTACAGGGACAGAAAATCTCACGGCTGTATAATAAGATGCCTAAGAACACAGTGTAATTTTGACACCAAACAAATCTTGTTAAGCCTGTCAGGAGAAACAGAGAAAGTGATTAAGGACATAATTCCTTGAGGAAAAGAAATTTTATAGGTGTCTCTACCGACATGTCCATTCTGTCTTGCACCGAGTCGGTATTTAAATCCCAAATTACTGAAATTAACAGAAAGTGGCAAAGAAACATGATGGCCCTGCAGCTGCAGAGCCAGACCCTCCCGATGGTTGGGGTGAGGCCCAGGGTCACCTTCCTGCTCTGACCTTTGTCTAGTTAGTTTGCAGGAAGGACTAAGATGACCTTTTCCCTCTCTCCACACAACACACTGATAAGACAATAGGACATACTTTTCTCCCCATTTTGAATGTCTATACAAAACCTGAGCAGGCCAAGAGAGGGAGGGGTCTTCAAGAACCAGATGCATTCCATAAACAAAGCCATTATTTCCAGTTCTGCTGGAAATGAAAAATATTTTTTCTCCCTAAGGGACATATGACTTTGAGTGGAGAGTTTTAAAAATAAGCAGAAGTGTCTACATTTGCTCACACTGGGCACCTCTGGGGTCAGGACTCCTCAGTAGACAAGTCACACAGCAGAGGGGACTGAGAGGAACCCCCATGGTCCAGTCCTCGCACCTGGCCAGGACGTGTTGAGACCATGGCCTCTGTACTGGCCTTGGGGGGCTCCAGCTAGCGTACCACCTTTTCCTGCCTAATCAACCGAGCCATGGTTTGCCTCAGTTTGTACCTTGACCTTTGCTCATCAGCTTCCCCACTTCCCAACTTTTAGCTCTTCCTTTTTCTCTTGTGCTAGAGTTGAAGCACATGTATTGTCACTTGCTAAGAGAAGAGGCTTTACAATGAGGACTCAAGCTAAATATGCCAGCCTTGGATTTAAAAAGCAAAGCACATTTATTTTCAACTATCAGCAGATAACCCAGCAGCCACATTACACCTGCATTTTCCTGGGGGCCAATGACAATCTGTCAGGCCACTTGCTACAGAAACAGCAAGTCATCTTCTGAAGCAATAGAGCTTGGTTCAAATGTGTGCAGGATGAACACCAGCCCTCTGGCAGCTTCTCCAGGAATTACCAAACTGCAGCAAACAGGAGAGTCACGGAAAGGGGTTGTTGCACAGAGCCTGCCCATCTCTGACGTGCTCACACAGCCCGGGCCACGCTGGCTTCATCTACCACACAGCAACACGGTGGGCACCTCCTGCAGCAAACTGCAGCCACGGGGTTTTAATATCTCTGTTATTTGTTTCTGTGTTAACACAGTATCTACCACCTGAAGAATCCATTACTTGGAAGAGGTTAGCAAGGCACATTTGAGCCTGTGGAAGTCCAAGTGCAGTTAACCCTGGGCCAATGGGGACGGAGGGCTCCCCTGGCCCCATGGAGGCGCCAGGGAACTCTCATGACCACCTCAGAGGGAGCTGCCTCTGCAAGGGGACAGGGACAGGAGGACGGTCTGTGTAGACTCACCTCTCACCTGCCCACAGGCCCACCAGTCACTCAACACCAGAACATGTGCACACCCAGCTGCAGGTCCAAGGCCGAGGCCTGGCTGTCCTGGTCAGGTTGCAGGGCCCGCACAGGCAGTCCTCACTGGCTGTTTGCCCCAGCCCTCCAGGCCTTCTCGGACTCCCTGACTTCTAAGGGACAACTCCTTGTTGGGTAATGGCACTTTGTGCATGTTTGAAGTTTTAGGAAGACCTTCACGTACCAGCTTGACCACCGAAGACTTGAACACTGAATCAACAAGTCACTTAGCTGCCAGTTACTGTCCAGAACTCCAGGGTTCAGTGTACACGTCACAGGAAGTAATGATGACGATGAAGGGAATGGGTTTGTCAGAGTTGGAAGCAGGGAAGCCTGGGAGGGTTAGAACTGCCAGGGTCAGTTGAGGGCCCCACCCCCCAGAACAAGGACCACGGCTGAGCCATACCTCAGGGCTCAGTTCCATGGGCTCATCCTTCTCTTCTTTCTTATTTCCTTCTAGTTCTTGAAATTTCTTGGTAAGTGTTTGAATTTCTTCTCTAGGGTGGAAGGGAAAAGACAGCTCATTGTCATCCCACTGTGCGAGATGAGATGTCTGTGACAGCAGGAAGGGCAGCCTCCTGGGGGACACGGGGCACTCAGCCACCACCCCTACCACACCTAGGGGTGGTCCCCATGTCCCCACCACAGGATGGTACCTGCCACTTTCTGTCTTGTGCACCCATGGGGGCAGGGGCCAGGACCCCCGGACCTGGCACATGATAAGACTGTAAAAACACTGACTGTGTGGGTGACAAGTACGTAGGCATCCTTTGGAGTGTTTAATAAACAACTTGAATGGAAGGAAATACAACTTACGTCCTTGCATTTTAAAAACAAAGTAAAATCAACTCTTCACTGTGTACCTGCCCTCTCTAAGGCCAACTCTAGCCTCCTGACAAAATCTAGCCTTTTGAAAATAAACTTCTTTATTCACTCCAGTCATCTGTGTCTAATTATTTTGAGTGCTAAATATTACTGTTCAGATTTCTAATTTACTTTTTTGGGGTGTCTTTTGAGATAAAATTCATTAAAACATAATATACACTATTTTAAAGTATGCAATTAAGTGGTTTTTAGTATATTCACAATGTTGAGCAGCTACCACTCTAATTCCAGAACATTCCTATCACTCGAGAAGAAGCTGAGCGCCTATCAGCAGGTACACCCTTTTCCCTTCCCCTTAACCCCTGGCCATGCTAACCTACTTTCTGCCTGTTTCTCTCACTGTGTGAGGGTCTGGAAGCTTGTCTGTGTTGTAATGTGTGCCAGAACTTCATTGCTTTTATTCTTCCGTATGGAAATGCTTCAGATTTTTAATCTGCTTGTCAGCTGATAGACCCTGGGGCTCTTTCCACTCTTTGGGGACTGAACAATGCCACTGTGCATGCAGCCGGCCCAAGGACGCAGCTGACACCTGGCTGGCTCCTGACCACAGGTGTGGCACGGGGCACGTCCTAAGATGCCAGTGCCGGGCATGGCTGGGGTGAGGGTGCACAGGGCGTCATAAGGCCTCTGGGCACACACTGGCCTGATCGTGAAGAGCCTTAGCCCAGAGTTTGGGTTTTTACTTTGAAGGAAACAGAAAATCCCTGCAGGATGTCGAGGAGACATGCCTTCATCAAACTGGAGCTCTGTAACAACCACTCGTGAAAGCCGGGCTGGCATGTGCATGAGGTTAGGGGGCGTGTGGTCCTCAACTCAAACTTACCGCAAAGCCTCCTCTCTTGCTCTTCTCTCCTTCTCATTTTCCTTCACATTTTCTAGCTCCTTCTGCAAGTCTGCCTTTGTCTGTAGTAGCTGCTTCACTTCCAAACTGAACACACAGAACCAGAGATGTTTCAGCATTCATTAAAACAAAGGCCCACATTACACCAATCTCCAGAGCAGGAAGAGCTCTTGAAGAAATTGAAATAATGCAGTCCAGCTTCTCACTGTGACAGTGGACTGAGGAGGGGCGGAGCGTAAAGAAAGCTACTTGTTTACAGTCACACAAACAGGAGCCAACCCCAGGGAGCAGGCCATTCAGGTACGGACTGAGCACCCACTATGTGCTGTGACTGTCCAGGGGAGGGTGTACAGCGGGGAGCAAAATCTGCTGGGGGAGGCCCTCTGTCCCTATCTCACGGGAAGGCACCACCCAGCAGTCTCACAGCCGGGCTGGGCCCCATACTGAAATGGGCGCTGGAAGGGCCAGCCTCCCACCAGGCTGCAGTGCGGCCCGGGCTGAGGCCCTGAGCATGGGGTTACCCACGCCTTCCCCTGAACTGCCCCAGAGGGGCTCTGCTGCACCCCTGGGGCAGGTGGCTAAGAACCTCTGTCTGAACCTCGGGCCACTGCTTTTGTCCTGTTGGCCTAACCTGTCCAGGCCCAGTTAATCTACAACGAAGGAGAGAAAGCACCCTAAGTGTTTAGTGGAGTGCCTGTCACTACAAGGGCTCTATAAATGGGAGCTATTACCATGTCATGTGGTAACTTAAGAGATGACCAAGATGTTTATTTACCTTTCAAAATGACTAGCTTAATGTTTAAGACTAATTTTTACAATGAATCTATCAATTTGCACAGATGCACTGTTGGACTTGGACTGGAGGAGGAGGAAGAGGTGGAGTGTGAAGGGATTTTCCTTCTCCCTTAAACAGAGGCAGCAGAGAACTTAGGCCAGGAGTCAGCTAGGGAGACCCTCTCAGACCCAGCTGTGCACACTGATCACCAGGGGGTCTCATTAGAGTCAGAGTCGGATCAGGAGGTCTGGGGCGGCCATGGTTCTGCATTTCTAGCCAGCCCCCAGGCCACACACTGAGAGGCGAACATTGTCTTGGATACGGTGGCTCTGCCAGCGGCAGCGGGAGCAGAACATGGTTGCAGCTGAAGCAGGTGGCAGGTCAGAGCCCTAGGACACGAAGAGTGCACCAGAGGCAGAATCTTGACATTTTTGCCTTTCAAACTCAGGGTCACGTTGACGATAGCATTTATGTCTTACCTGGTAAATGGACTAGACATTATAAACATATTACTAGATCTTTAAACCACTCTGCATAAGATCTAATTCATGGCCTGTCCATTTCACATAAGTCAACAGAAGTAAATTCTTCTCTAAAAAAGAATTTGAAAAGCCCTCTGGAATTCCATGTGAAGAGATTTAAAATGGCACCCCTTTTCAAGGACCTAATACAGCCAATTAATGTCTTCTTTTTACCACTAAATCTGCCTTTAGTTCACAAGCAGAATATAAGTTTTAGAATCATATGAAACTATTTATGCGATGACTAGTCAGAACTGAGCATTCTTCCTAAATTCACAACAGTGTGACTACAGCCACAGTGCCAAGGCCGCGCCCAGTAGGCAGAAGGGTGCGGTTGCACCCGACCACGTACTCTCTCTCCTGCAGCTGCGCCTGGAGGGCGCTCCGCTCGGCCCTCAGGTTCCTCACAGCCCCCCGCAAGCGTTCGCTCTCCCTCTGGTGGTCCAACCTCGGCTGCCTGTCCACCGCAGAGCTGGACGCAGATTGAGCTGGTGGGCTCGACATGACCACTTCTGAAGTGTGTGATTTTTGCCTTTCCACCAAACTGATCTGGAGGCAACACAAATGTTTGATAGACATTATTTCTTATTTTACATTCCAGCCAGGAAACCCAGAGATGAGACTGAGACCCAAGGGGAACCTTGTCTCCAACCAAAGTGGAGTGCGGCCCGAGAAACGTAGGGTCCTCCATTCGCCATGAGGCTGTGGGTGGTGGCTGTGTGCCCCAGCCAGCGTTCCTCCCTCCAGGCAGAGCGGGAGGAGTGGCCCAGGCCGCTTCAGGGCACCAAGGCGCCACCTCTAAGAGCAGAGGCCTGGGCCGGGGGGCTCCTGAGATCCTCCTGTGCTCATCTACCTGCTTATTTCCCTGGAATTTCTGGGATCTTCAACCGCCCTGCTTTCAATCTAAAATGAGGATCCCGGTTTGCCAGCTAAGCAGTACCAAGCGCCTTCAGATTCCCACCGCTAGCTGCACCTCTCCCAGCCTGGGATGGGACCGCCCACGGGGCCTCTGAGCTACCCCCGTGGCTTTCCTTCCCAACAAGCTTCGTTTAAAGTACCAGCAACATGTAAGAGCTTCTTCAGTTTTCTGCTCTGTAAATATGTGTTCCCCTCTAGGCTGACTCTGCTCAGCCAAACTGTGTGACTCAGTCCCTCAGATCCAAGTCCCACAGAGCCAGGCTCACTACCAGTGGGCAAATTCATACAGGGGTATAAGGGGAGGCTAATTTCCCAAGTTTGCTAGCTGGCAAAGAGTTTCCTGCAAATTCAAACATTATTTAAGTCGTGAGAAGCACCCCCTTGTGAGTGCTGGCAGTGAAAGATGTCTGTATGCATCAGGCTGGATGTCTGGAAGGTTCTAAGGCCACAAGCACCCACCTGAGGCTCCACATCAAAGCCCACACCACGTGTTGTGTGATCACAGCTTTGCCTCAGGGACCCAAGGGGTGGGAGGTCGTGCCCTGTAGGCCGGAACTGTGGGGGGTCTGCTTCTGCAGTGCGCCCTGTTCCCCTGTCCTCTGGGTCCTGTCTCCCATGTTGCAAAATACCCAGCTACTCTTCATGCACCAGCAGGTCCTAAAGCATAGAAGGTGAGTTGAGAGGCGCACCACTCACTTTTTCCAGCTCTGCGATCCGTCTAAGCAGCCGGGGCTTACTCCACTCCATGTAACCTAACGGAAGCAACAGGTTTGTAAAGACTCACTTCATACAACCGCCTGATGGGCCCCTTCAGCCCAGACCACTGTCTCAAGCAAGGCCTGATAGCTTCCTCTTCCAGAGGTGGGCACAACTTGTGGAACCACCAGCAAAGCCAAAGACCCACACCCGGCAGATCCCTGCAACCACGGGCGCCTCTCCTGGAAGGGCTCTCTGTCCCTCTCGCTGTCATGATGGATGCCGGTGGCTCTGGTCTTAGGGTGACACTCCTTCCTGATTCAACCCCAGTTGGACATTGGCCCCATCAATCCACCCAGTGGTCCTTCTCAAGGTCACCACTGACGCCCTCTGCCATCTCAAAGCTCAGTTCTTAGCTCCTGCGCTCCCGGGCCCCCAGCACACCGGCCTGCCCTCCTCCTTCCGACCTTCCTCCACCGGACTTTCAGGACACCAGCACGCTTACCAGCCCCTCCTGACGGCCCTGCTGGCTTGCCCTCTCCTCACCCCCTGGGAACACCACTGGGTCAGGGCACACGCCTGGCCCTTCCTCTTCTCTACCCACTCACTAGATGCCCTGGACCTCAGTGGGCACCTGTTGGCCAGGTCTAGTGCTCCCACTAAGCCCTCTACCCTGAACTCACCTGTCCTTGAGCTGCACTGGGATGTCCAGGGCACACCACAGAATGACGGTCCCCTCCCCCACCCTGTTCCTCTCCTCACTGTCCACACTGCAGTGAACATGGGAACATCTGTCAGGGGCTCAGCCCAAAGCCTGGGACCCTGATGCCTGCCTTGCTGGCTTGTGCTGTGCACATGGCTGTCTCTCCCCCAGACCTGTGCTCAGCTGTCGCTGCCTCAGTGGGGCCTTCCCCAGTGACCTACATGCAGGTGTACCCCACGGGCCAGCCTCCCACCTCCCTCTTTGCTCTGCCCACAGCACCATCTGCACTTGACCCATGTTTGACCTGAGGGCCTCCCCCTCCCTGCTAGGCTGTGACCTCCCCAGGGGGCGTCTGTGTGCTCCTGCTCGCTGCTCCTCTCCAGTCCCCGGCACATAGCAGGTGCTCACTGCACACGCAGTGCATCTTGGGGAGCATGGCCCAGCACTGTGCATCTGCATTTGCAGCAGATGAAACAGGGCCTGGAGGGCTGGAGGGGGGAAGGGCCATGACTCTCTTGCGGCCACCGCCCAGCATCTTCCCTCAGAGAGCAAGAGCTGTGCCCTCTGCACGTGTCCTCTCCGCGGGTAGCTCTCAGGAAGATACCCTTGATCCTGGAGGCAGTGGGGGAGTTGCTCAGCACATGGTCCAGGTCCTCCTTCAGGCTCTGGTTCTCCTCCGTGAGCTCCTGAACGCTACGCGACAGGCTCAGGAGGGCGCTGCTCACTTTTTTCTGACTTTTGAGGCCCATTTTCTTCTCCGCTGTTCACGTTGACGATAGCATTTATGTCTTACCGGGTAAATGGACTAGACATTATAAACATATTACTAGATCTTTAAACCACTCTGCATAAGATCTAATTCATGGCCTGTCCATTTCACATAAGTCAACAGAAGTAAATTCTTCTCTAAAAAAGAATTTGGAAAGCCCTCTGGAATTCCATGTGAAGAGATTTAAAATGGCACCCCTTTTCAAGGACCTAATACAGCCAATTAATGTCTTCTTTTTACCACTAAATCTGCCTTTAGTTCACAAGCAGAATATAAGTTTTAGAATCATATGAAACTATTTATGCGATGACTAGTCAGAACTGAGCATTCTTCCTAAATTCACAACAGTGTGACTACAGCCACAGTGCCAAGGCCGCGCCCAGTAGGCAGAAGGGTGCGGTTGCACCCGACCACGTACTCTCTCTCCTGCAGCTGCGCCTGGAGGACGCTCCGCTCGGCCCTCAGGTTCCTCACAGCCCCCCGCAAGCGTTCGCTCTCCCTCTGGTGGTCCAACCTCGGCTGCCTGTCCACCGCAGAGCTGGACGCAGATTGAGCTGGTGGGCTCGACATGACCACTTCTGAAGTGTGTGATTTTTGCCTTTCCACCAAACTGATCTGGAGGCAACACAAATGTTTGATAGACATTATTTCTTATTTTACATTCCAGCCAGGAAACCCAGAGATGAGACTGAGACCCAAGGGGAACCTTGTCTCCAACCAAAGTGGAGTGCGGCCCGAGAAACGTAGGGTCCTCCATTCGCCATGAGGCTGTGGGTGGTGGCTGTGTGCCCCAGCCAGCGTTCCTCCCTCCAGGCAGAGCGGGAGGAGTGGCCCAGGCCGCTTCAGGGCACCAAGGCGCCACCTCTAAGAGCAGAGGCCTGGGCCGGGGGGCTCCTGAGATCCTCCTGTGCTCATCTACCTGCTTATTTCCCTGGAATTTCTGGGATCTTCAACCGCCCTGCTTTCAATCTAAAATGAGGATCCCGGTTTGCCAGCTAAGCAGTACCAAGCGCCTTCAGATTCCCACCGCTAGCTGCACCTCTCCCAGCCTGGGATGGGACCGCCCACGGGGCCTCTGAGCTACCCCCGTGGCTTTCCTTCCCAACAAGCTTCGTTTAAAGTACCAGCAACATGTAAGAGCTTCTTCAGTTTTCTGCTCTGTAAATATGTGTTCCCCTCTAGGCTGACTCTGCTCAGCCAAACTGTGTGACTCAGTCCCTCAGATCCAAGTCCCACAGAGCCAGGCTCACTACCAGTGGGCAAATTCATACAGGGGTATAAGGGGAGGCTAATTTCCCAAGTTTGCTAGCTGGCAAAGAGTTTCCTGCAAATTCAAACATTATTTAAGTCGTGAGAAGCACCCCCTTGTGAGTGCTGGCAGTGAAAGATGTCTGTATGCATCAGGCTGGATGTCTGGAAGGTTCTAAGGCCACAAGCACCCACCTGAGGCTCCACATCAAAGCCCACACCACGTGTTGTGTGATCACAGCTTTGCCTCAGGGACCCAAGGGGTGGGAGGTCGTGCCCTGTAGGCCGGAACTGTGGGGGGTCTGCTTCTGCAGTGCGCCCTGTTCCCCTGTCCTCTGGGTCCTGTCTCCCATGTTGCAAAATACCCAGCTACTCTTCATGCACCAGCAGGTCCTAAAGCATAGAAGGTGAGTTGAGAGGCGCACCACTCACTTTTTCCAGCTCTGCGATCCGTCTAAGCAGCCGGGGCTTACTCCACTCCATGTAACCTAACGGAAGCAACAGGTTTGTAAAGACTCACTTCATACAACCGCCTGATGGGCCCCTTCAGCCCAGACCACTGTCTCAAGCAAGGCCTGATAGCTTCCTCTTCCAGAGGTGGGCACAACTTGTGGAACCACCAGCAAAGCCAAAGACCCACACCCGGCAGATCCCTGCAACCACGGGCGCCTCTCCTGGAAGGGCTCTCTGTCCCTCTCGCTGTCATGATGGATGCCGGTGGCTCTGGTCTTAGGGTGACACTCCTTCCTGATTCAACCCCAGTTGGACATTGGCCCCATCAATCCACCCAGTGGTCCTTCTCAAGATCACCACTGACGCCCTCTGCCGTCTCAAAGCTCAGTTCTTAGCTCCTGCGCTCCCGGGCCCCCAGCACACCGGCCTGCCCTCCTCCTTCCGACCTTCCTCCACCGGACTTTCAGGACACCAGCACGCTTACCAGCCCCTCCTGACGGCCCTGCTGGCTTGCCCTCTCCTCACCCCCTGGGAACACCACTGGGTCAGGGCACACGCCTGGCCCTTCCTCTTCTCTACCCACTCACTAGATGCCCTGGACCTCAGTGGGCACCTGTTGGCCAGGTCTAGTGCTCCCACTAAGCCCTCTACCCTGAACTCACCTGTCCTTGAGCTGCACTGGGATGTCCAGGGCACACCACAGAATGACGGTCCCCTCCCCCACCCTGTTCCTCTCCTCACTGTCCACACTGCAGTGAACATGGGAACATCTGTCAGGGGCTCAGCCCAAAGCCTGGGACCCTGATGCCTGCCTTGCTGGCCTGTGCTGTGCACATGGCTGTCTCTCCCCCAGACCTGTGCTCAGCTGTCGCTGCCTCAGTGGGGCCTTCCCCAGTGACCTACATGCAGGTGTACCCCACGGGCCAGCCTCCCACCTCCCTCTTTGCTCTGCCCACAGCACCATCTGCACTTGACCCATGTTTGACCTGAGGGCCTCCCCATCCCTGCTAGGCTGTGGCCTCCCCAGGGGGCGTCTGTGTGCTCCTGCTCGCTGCTCCTCTCCAGTCCCCGGCACATAGCAGGTGCTCACTGCACACGCAGTGCATCTTGGGGAGCATGGCCCAGCACTGTGCATCTGCATTTGCAGCAGATGAAACAGGGCCTGGAGGGCTGGAGGGGGGAAGGGCCATGACTCTCTTGCGGCCACCGCCCAGCATCTTCCCTCAGAGAGCAAGAGCTGTGCCCTCTGCACGTGTCCTCTCCACGGGTAGCTCTCAGGAAGATACCCTTGATCCTGGAGGCAGTGGGGGAGTTGCTCAGCACATGGTCCAGGTCCTCCTTCAGGCTCTGGTTCTCCTCCGTGAGCTCCTGAACGCTACGCGACAGGCTCAGGAGGGCGCTGCTCACTTTTTTCTGACTTTTGAGGCCCATTTTCTTCTCCGCTGGAGGCCTGGGAACAAGGAGACTGAGCGGTGAGGTTTGGTCTCTAACCCGGGCTAACAGCTGCCTCTACTGAGGTGCAGGCACTGATGGCCTGGGTGCTGCCCGCACCTCAGCACGCTATGTGCAGCTAGGAGGAAACACTAACTCTGAACTCCAAGTAAGCCAACTGCTGTCCTCAAATAGAACTCCATTCCTCTCACTAGTAAACCTGTATAACAAAACATCATATTCGATTATTAGGGATGTTTTAAATGGTATCACAACCATCTGTGGGAACATGCTTCCTCTCCTGTTACAGCAGCACCTGTGTAAGAGGGTGCTTGGCTCTCATCCCCCCACCCCTAACCTACAGTCCATCCTCAGAACTCAGATTTGCATTTGCAAATTCGCCTTCTTTCTGAAGTTCACGTGCATCCCCCCTCCATTGGTGCTGAGCACAGGCAGCGTGCTCCCAGCAGGGTGTGACCAGGCCCAGCCTGCCGGCCTGTCTCCACTCTATTTCTCAACAGGGTCATTTTCCATTTAGTCTGTACTCTTCAAGTCAGGTGATTTCCCTGTTCACAACGGGGCCCTTCAGCACAGACCTGAGGTTCCATCCAGGCCTCCTCACTGCGAGGCTGGGAAGCCCTGTGTCAGACACGCCTTCACCAGGCATGAGTCACCCAGCTGTTGGTCGTGAGCTCAGTGTCAGTGAGTCAACAATGTATACTAAATAAGGTGTCTTTAAACAGAAACACATGTGAAAACAGGTCGTATGTTGAACAGCTGATAAAAACATTGTGCCCAGAGGCTAGCAGGAACCTAACTCTGGGATTCCCCTGGGAGCAATGGTTTAATATTTACCAATTCAGTGTCTGCAGAGACTATAGAACATAACTGCTGTGAAAATTGGGAACCAACTACAATTACTGGCTGGCCCTTTACAGAACAAGTTGGCCAACTTTGGGGGAACAGGAAAAGGGAAAACATGCCTTGCACAAGTGCAGAGAGATAAGACCTTGATGTCTCTCCCAACAAACTTATTTGGGAAAATGGACTTGTATTAAATGTTTTCCTAGTAAGGAAGATCTGCTTCGTGAAACAGTGTTTTCTAATTGTAAGCCGGAAACTCTAGAGTAGTGTGAACAACTAACGCATGGGGCATGAACACGCTGTTAGCAGTCAGCCGCGAAATTATGTGGGCACATCCGTAACCATCCTGGATGGAAACATACCCACTCTAACCGCTGGCAAACAGGCGTGGGTGCTGGCGCCGCTCCACTGAGGGTAGTGTGCACAGCTTGCTCGTGGTGACTATGCTACTTTTAGAGCAGTTAATGTGAAGACAGCATGCACCACAGCTCCCAAGATTATCATACCTCTTTACTGTAGTTTCAGAACTTGCCAAGAGAGTCTGCAGCCTATGAATCTGTAAATTAAAATGCATGAAAATACAAAATGAGCATCAAGGCCTTCCTCTGAGAAACTGCCACCAGGTCCCCACTATCTTCCCAGTGGCGGGAGGGAGGCACCGAGTTGCTGCAATTCTCCTTCAAGTCAAGATGACTTAGGAAAGCTGGACCCCCGCCTCGTGTGCCAGGCTCTCGCCCCTTCTGTGCTCTCTGACCCCGCACCACGTACCTCCTCATAGTAGGTCTCCATGGCAATCCTCATCTCCTCCAGGTTAGTGGTCTTCATATCGGTCTGCAGTTTGCTAAAAACCCAAGTTCAGGGTTAACACGGCAGAGCCAGCATTCCCAGGGCAGAACCAGAAGCAAGCGTTTCCCCGGACATCAGAGAAGAGCTTGGAAGAGAACCAGGAAGGGAAGGGGAAGCCGGAGTTGGCCCTCAGCTGGCCTTGCCCCAGGCTTATATTGAGAACTCTGCACACCCACAGGAGCCCTTGTGTGTGGGGTCAGCCACTTTCCATGGTGAGGAACAGACGTCCTAAAGACACTCTTTATAAAGAAGAGACTGTCTCTAAAAAACTGGAGTAATTGTGAAGGAGACCCCAGGGCAGGAGGACAAACTGTCTTTGGGGGAAGGTGGGAGGGTAAGTTTTATACAGGAAAGATTCATTTTTTCCTTGTACCATCAGGATAATTCTCAACATATAACAGACTTCAGATAAATGGCTCTAGCAGAGAAATGAAAGTCAAGTTGCAGAGTTCAGGATTCTGAAACACAGAAGATATCAGCAAATAATAAAATTTTTTCAGTTGACAATTTCAGCAAGAAACAAAAAAGGAAGTTACATAAAGAGGAGACAAGGGGCAACAGAAGGAGGACCTCACATTTCCCTAAATAAACCCAAACGCAGTGAGGAAACACCAGAAAGAAATGTGCGGCCGCTCCAGGAGCAGCTGTGGGACAGTGGCTGGCAGAGTGAGGTGTGCGGAGAGATGCCCCAGCCAAGGCCCCAGGCCCATGCTGGCGATGCAGCGCACTCACACAGGACCAAGGAGGGGAAGCATTTCTTAAGTGTAGCAGGAACAAGAAAAGAGGAAAAGGAAATACTGTCCCTTGGTGAGAGGGAGCCACTGTTTACTTTCATTCTTTTAGTAGAAAGAGGAAGCTGGGCCAGGGGCCGGGGACAGAGGAGGTGGGGACTAGCGCTACAGCTGGGACAGTGTAAACACTGAGGCTGAAAGCAGACAGGATGAGTGGGCTTGTTGGCTGGGAGGGCCCGCAGGCCACCGGTGGTGTCCCCGTACCTGATGGTGTTGTCCTTCTCCTTGCACTGCTGCTCCAGCTTGAGGATCCTCTGCTTTAGCCCGCTGACGACCTGGCAAGAGAAGAGGGGCATAGCGGATGGGCCACCACCGACCAGGGCTGGCCCTCCCTCCCTCTGCAGGCACAGACGGTCCATCCTGGCTGGGCTGGTGGCCCTGCCCGCTGAGCCGGCAGCACCCGCCATCCTTCTGTCGGGGTTCTTCACCCAGCAGTCCCCTCTCTAACCCTGGCTTCCCTTCTTGGCTACAGGCACAGGGGAGAGTGGACAGGACACTATCTGCCCTCGGGGTGCATGGTGGAGAGGCCCAGGGCACACAGCCTCCCCCTTGGCCACACTCCGCGCTCAGGAGATGCTTCACCAGCCAGTTTCGAGGAAGCCACTACAAGCACTACACACAGGAGCTGCCGTCTTACCAGCCCCAGGACAAAGCAGACCACGGGTTCCCGCAGGATGCTCGGAGGCTGGGGGGCCTGCCTCACTCTGGGCCGTGCCTTATGCTCCAGAGAACATTCCTTGCTTTCTTTTTGAATAGCCAAACACCTTTTAAATTGGATTTTAAGGTGATTTTAAGTTACATTAGTAATAAATGAATATATTTTCTTGTGGAAAAAAAAATTAAAGCATTACAGATGAAACTATACCCTTTGACCTTACCCCCTTGGCCAAGTGTTATTAACTGCATGTGCACGGTGCAGGCCTATCACATGCATGTGCGTCTGTGTGTTTGCTGAAACCGTGGCCCTCTGCTGCTCCCAAGAACGTGCTCCTCCCACACTTCTCACCGGCACCTGCCCCTCTCCCTCAGCAGCTGCCAGGGTGGTCAGTTCCTCCAGGGCCCACAGAGCCTCCTGATCTTTGCAGTGTGAGCAGACATAGTCTATCTACCCACGCTGCCACTGGCAGGGATTAAAGTGGTAACAAGTTTTCGCCATTATAGACAGTCCTCCGACAGAAACCCTTGGCCAGGATCCCCCTTGTGTGTGCATGCACGTTTCCTGAGCAGAGAGGGAAAGCAGAAATGTTCGGTCCCAGGACACGGCCACTCTGAAGGGCGAGTGGCAATGGGTATCAAACTGACAACCGCACCTGCCCTGTGATCCAGAATTTCCACTTTGCATCAACTCTAATAACAAAAACCAGCATCAGAACAAAAACACAAAGAACCCTTTCTCTATAAAAACACCCACTCTGCAGATTCCACATCCTCACCCAAGTTAAACATGTAGACATTTCTAAACGTAGCTGTACTGTTTTATATTCCTAAAAATCTTTTATTCCAAAGATGTGTTGATGTGGTAGTATTCCAATTCGAATGGCTGTTCCTCAGTTTCCCTCCCCACAAATTGGGCACCTATAAATATCCTGTGTGTGCAGAAAGATTTCCATACGATTTTTTCTTTAGACACAATCCTAAAAAAGCAGTATTAGGCACACAGAGGCATGATATTACAGACCACTGCTTTCACTCCATCACAGCCACTTAAAGGCAGTATCTGAGTTCTGAGCACACTGGTATTTTCTCAGTTCAGCCGATACTTGTTTTGATTGTGTTGATTTTACTACTTTAGGGTGTGGGGTTTCCCTCACAGCAGTTTAGGATGACATCCTCACTATTTACTGCAGGTGACTTGAGGGGACAAGCCCCAGCCTGGCCTTCACAGTGCTTGTGGCCAGTCATCAGGAACTCAGTTTGGTTCAATCTCTTGACCTCAGTTTCCTGATTGTAAAAATGGGGATTGAAGTCCCTATTACAACAACATCACATGAGATTATGCACTTGAGCAAACTGCACAGCTATACAACGTTTAAGGGTTGCTATTATCCGACAACTACTTTCCACAAGAGGGGAACATGGTTTGTCCTCAAAGCCCTGGGGTACTCGCTTTGTGCTGCCCTCCCCCCATTACAGTGACCCAGGTTCCATCGTGGTCTTATGGGGCTTTATTATCAGTACTATGTTATTATCAAACCCATTAATCACATCACTGGTGCTATTATATTCTGTGTTTAATAATCTCAAAATTGTTTCCCTCCCAGTTCCCTTTTAGCATTTCACACCTACTTCCTTGACTCACATGAGGTTTACTGTGATACATATTTCTCCAACTGCTGCAGTTTATTTCCACAGCATGGCTCCATTTTCCACCATGTTGCTTCACTCACTCTGTTACGTGGATGTGTCTGTATTTGAAGGTCTTTATTCTATGCCTGCTCTGTTTTCAGTCGGCATCACTTGTTAAGCATGATGTGTTCTCTAGGTGTGGCGGGAAGTCCCCAGGAACCTGTCATCTGCAGCATGTCTTCTGCGTGTGGTAATCCCTCAGCCTCCCTCCCATGGCCCTAGCGGCCCGCGGGAGCATCGTCATCCCCGCGGCCCCACGGAACCCGGCTAGCGGAGGTTCCAAGCCCTTCCCATCTAACTGCCACTCCTCCTGCACCAGTGCTCTGGCGTGAGGCACCCGGGCCATGGGCTGTCGCTAAGCAGTGGGAAGGCTGGCTGCCTTTGGGGGTTATACTCACCCAGCCAGAATTGGGCCTCTTCTCCGCCAGAGTGCGAACGAATTCTGGGCCCTGTGGTGAGCAGATGGGGAGGTGAAGACAGTGTGGGGCCAGGCGGCCCCGCTCATCTGAGCAGTGGGGCAGCATGTGCTGTGGGCGGGACTTACCCGGGGGGCATCCAACAGCTGCTCGATCTGCCGGTCCTTCCGGCTGTTTTCCTCTTCTAAGCGCCGGAGCTTCGTCCTCATCAGGTCCACGTCGCCTTTCTGTGCGTGGAGTGACTGGAGGAAGAGGGGCCACACAATGCCGTGCACATACGGAATGCACACACAAACACCCAGGAGAAACATGGCATCGGGGAAGAATTTTAAAGCCACCTGGTTCCCAGCCAGGGCACAGTGTGTGGTCCGGGGTGCAGGCTGTCTGGATGCCACAGCACTGAAGGGCACTCTGGCATTTAGTGGGTAGGGACCAGGGCAGATGCCCTGTGAGGTGCAGGACCACCCCACGCAATGAAGAGCTCACCCCCCAAATGCCAGCAGTGCCCCCACACAGAAGCACCGCTCTGCATGGCAACACGGTCAGTGACCCACGTCACACGGCCTCTCCCAGGTCCACACGAGGAAGCCCATTTTTGTCATACCACACATCACAAAGTTCGTTACAGCTAAAATTCTTATCCTCAACTGAGGCCCAGCTGGCCTGCACGGTGTCTGCCAAACGTTTATGGATGGATGAGTTTTTTAGCAATCGGTGGTGAACTGAGAAGAAGAAGACTGTGCTGTCCATTTTCCACAAAACTAAGTTTATTCGACTTCTATACCTATCCTGTGTTTTGAAATTAAATCCTTCCTGCTGTCTGGGGTAAGACAGGCCTTTCATGAGAGGCAGTGGCAGGGTATGTTTGACTTCTGTCTCCCACATCTTCACTCTTCTTCATCTGTGAAGCCCCACGGCCCGAGAGGCGTGAGGCCTCGCCAGCACTCCCCCACTGGGGCCGGGGGAGCCAGCCCCATCGTCAGCACCTCCGAAGGGGCCAGTCATCTCAGAACCGTCCTTCCCCTTTCAAAGGACTCCTGGTGCTCAGAGGAGGCAGGTCCGACCACAACTAGCTGCTACCATCACTAGAAAGAGAATTCCAAGTGTGTCCCTCTGAGGAAGGCCTGGCATGTGAGCCGCATGGCCGCAGTGGCAAGGCTGCCAGTATGGCCATGGGGCAGGGACGCCCGGCTCTCAATGTGTGTTTAGGGAACAGGCCAGTCAATGTAGTCCTTGGGAAAGATAAGAAGCTACAGTGGGAATTCTGCTTCCAAAACCACGGAGTCCACTCACTTTTCCCTTCTTACAGTTTCTCCTGCTTACAGCAGCTAAAACCTTGGACACTGTAGTGAAACAAACATGAGGAGACTCAGCAAGGTGGAGAGGAGGAGGCAGGCTAGCTAGGGGCCTCTGGACCCAAGGAGCTGGGCTGCGCCCCCCACCTTCTGTCTTGCCAGGGTGCTGGAGGGGCCCACGTCCATGCCTGCACAAGTCAATGGCACCAACAGGCCTCTGCACTCCAGCAGGAAGGGGCAGTGGGGCAGGCAGACAACTTACAGGCAGTAACCGCACCACGCAGGCAAACACCCAGCCCTGCCAGCGAAGGCTGAAAGGCTGAGTGGGGAGCCCAGCTCACCACCCTGCCAGGCTGTAGCCAGGCGTCCTTGGGGTGGCGGGGTGAGGGCATTGTCAGAGGCCAACTGGAGGGTTGGGACTTTTACTGTCCAGTGGTAATGAGGCCACACACACAAAATAAAATGGGAGAGTCAAATCCTAACACATTGATAATTATATTAAATGTAAACAATCTAAACAAACCAATTAGAAGACAGAGATTTCCAAAGTATATTTAAAAAAAGAACCCACAGGGCCCAGCCATATGCTGCCCTTAGGAAACTTACTTAAACATGATGAGACAGGGGGGTGAGAAGCAAAAGGGTGGGGAAAGAGATTCCATCAAACCACAAATCAAAAGCAGAAGTGACTGTTAGTATCAGATAAAGCAGACTTCAGAGAAGAGACAATGGCCAGAACAGAGAGGGATGCTGCGTAATGGCTGTAAGGGTCAGCCCACCAAGGAGACAGCGATCCTCAGTGTGCATCCGCCAAACAACAGCTGTAAAACATGTGAGGCCAAACTGATGAGAATGAAAGGGGAAACTGACAGATCCACGATTAGAGCCACAGACGTCATCACCCTTCCCTCAGCAACTGAGAGAACAGCCAGGCAGAGAATCAGCCAGGCTACAAAAGAACTCGTGTTCAGCCAGCAGAGTCTGCCTGTCATTCACCGAACACTGCACCCAAGGGCGGGAGGCCTGTTCCTTCCACATCCTGGGCCATAAAGCAAACTTTAACAAATTTAAAAGAAATGAAATTATACAGTGTGCGCTCTACGGTCACAGTGGGGTCAAATGAGAAGCCAATGACAAAAATAACAAGACAAGCTTTAAACTCTTAGAAAGTAAGCAACACAATTTCAAATCATCACACGTCAAGGAGTCTTAAGGGCAGGAACTCGTCAGAAAGGTACAGTGCATCACAGTGAGCAGGATGCAGCTAACACGGTAGGGGGAGGCTGGAGGGGTGCACGCAGCAGCTGGGCCAAGCTCGGGACAGTGTGGGTGAATGGAAACATGTCTCAGAGGTCACGTATGGCATGATTCCATTTACACAACACTACCAGGAAGCCAGAACGCGAGACATGGAGAGAAAAGTCGGTGGTTGCCAGGGGTGAGGGACTGTGCTGGGGAGGGAGGTGATGTGACTGTCAGCAGGAGGAGGGTCTCAGATGGAGGGGCAGCTCTGTGTTTTGAGGGTGGTGGTGGTTTCGCAAAGCTACACGTCATAACATGGCCCAGTACCACACATGCATGTGTCCTGGCTTTGATGTGCTATAGCTGCGTAAGATGTAACTGTCAGCGGGACTGGGTGAAGGGACAAGGTGCCTCTCTGTACTATCTCTGTAACTTCCTGAGAATCTATAATTATTTCAAAATGAGTTTTTAACAAATGGTTCACACTTACTGGCCTCTTACTGTGTGCCAGGCACTGTATTAAAGCACTCTCATGTATTGTTTTATTGAACCATCTCACAACCCTATGAAATTGTACTACCATTAACCCCATTTTTCAATAGGAAACTGAGGTATCACTTGCCTGAGAAAAACTACTCTGATGCTTAAGATTCCAGAGAAACAGAGTATTGAAAATAAAAATCTCTGCATTCAGAAGCCCAGACTGATTTTATCCAGAAACAAATGAGGCTGAGTCTGCATAAAGTCACTATAATTTTACCCAGATACCCATCACTAGGCCCAAAAGATCCCCCCAGGAGAGCTATCGTGGCTCTCATTCACTTGCAGGGGTGCTCCTAGTTCATTCTGTACTGTCTCCCAAAAAACAAGAATTCCCTTTCCAATATCCCTGGTACACAGTCACCCGACATCTGCTTCACATCTCTGAGGCAGGGAGGATGCTGGCTCATCAGGCTGCACTTTGCTGCCGGACATGGGTGGGCATTCTTCTGATTCTCCCTGAACTAAGCATCCTCTCTAGACCACAGGGGAGCACCCTGTGCTGCACACAGGGGCCTGAAGCAGGTGCTCCTAGTCTTCTCCTGTGCTCCTCAGGCTAGGTGGCTTCCAGACAGACTCCTCGCCATGCTCCGGGCATTCTGGCTGCCAACACCCTGCTTGAACCTCTGGTGCCCACAATCTCCCAGGTGCAGCTCCACTGGTGGGGACAGCGGGTCTACAGATAGACTAATACGGAAGGGAATGAACAGCGGTCATTCCTCCAGGGGTGGACTATGTGCAGACACTGAGGACTGGTGTGATCACCGAGGTGATGGAAGGGAGATGAGGATGAGGATGATTTATTTCAATGCAATTCATACTTCAGGGAAGGGAGACAGCATGGTTTGGTAAAGATGACCTTGGGAGGCAGATGACCTTGATGGAAATCCCAGTTCTGTTGCTGGTTAACTTCAGATAGACTACTAACCTGAGTCTCAAGGCCATCACCAGATCATGGTAGAAAGCTGTCTCACATAGTCCCTGCAGTGATCAGCTGAGGTCAGGTGTGAATGGCTCGTTAACACTGAAGAACTACACAAATGGGAGGCTACTGATAGTGACACCGGATGACCTTGCATGATGCTGAGTCTCAGGGCACAAAGGGACTCTGAAGCCCATCTGGTCCCTCCCCATTACTCCCTACCATGCAGGAGAAGCAGAGCAGAGGGACTCCAAACTGTCGAGGACTCCTGTACAGGTGGTGCCGGGCGTTTTGTAAACCAGGGTCCCTGGTTCCCAAGGTGCTGGCCAGGGCGATGCTCAGGGGTCCCTCTAGAGCACATGTTCTTTCCGCACAGAGACATCCCACAGACACACTGGGGCACCCACTCTTATAGAAGGGCTTTCGCTGTTTGACATCAGCAAAGGACAGGTAGAAACACTACCTTTTTCAACTCAATGATCTCGTCATACATGTCTTCTTTCTCTCTGTAGATGGGGGTCCCAGGGACATGACCTGGAGGGGACACAAAGCACTTATAAGATTACCTAAAAAGTAGAATTATTCTTGGCTATGCCTTAAGGAAAATCTGGAAGGTAATAAAATTACCTTTTTTTAAAAAAAATAAGGACACTAGAAAAGAAGAACAAAGCTATTGCAATGGTTTTAGCCTGATCATGACACTTCCCTCAAAAGGAGACGTAGGAAGATGAGGGGGAACTAAACCACATGAACACGGGACTTAATATGGCAAAACGGTGAAAGAAAGGAGGCAAGAGGAGAAGCAACGTGCGTAGATCTCAGACAAACAGACAGACACCAACAATACCGACAGGGGATGACGAGCCTGTTCCCAAAACAGGGAAGGGCACTCTGGTTCCAGGATGGCACCTAAGACACTGGGACTCTGACACACTTAAGCCGAAATCAGAGCTCCTGGCCAGTGAACGCAGTAAGGGGGCCAGCTCATGGGTTCACTGTGCTCCCACAGAGGCCTCCAGGAAAGCAGGGGGCCTAGGGACGAGGTACCCGGAGGAATGCTAGACAGGGAGATACAGCTGTGAAAACAAACCCATCCTTTTTGGTGAGATCTGGGCTTCTTCTTATTTGTAACTTTCATTTCTAACATTGTTTTCACAATAAATGTAAGTAAGACTCTAAGTCTAGGGAGGTAGGCACCCCTGAAGCCTGGGCAGATGGTCCTGCGTTAGGAAAGCCCCTTCTAGGAGGGCAGAGTGGCCTCTCAGGGCTGCCGTCCTCAGGACACTCCATTACCTCCTGCTAATGGAGCAACTACAGGGAGTCCCAAGTCTCGCTTTGGCAAAGGACACGCACCAATTTCTGCTTTGCTTAGCTGTGGCCACCATCAGCATGCTCACCATTGCTGGCAGACCGCCTGAGATTTGACCTCTTCATCCTCCAAGTTTCTGTCACATAGTCGGGAGAGCTGCCGGGGGGGCTGATCCATGCACGCTCCAAGGTGAGGTCTGACTGCAGCGGTTGGGTCAGACTTCCTGGTTTGAATGTGCATGGATTTAATATGACAGATAAAGGAAGTAAGTGGAAGGTTTTGCCTCTAATAATCAATCTTCCTGGGTTGAAGAAAGCTTCAGTCAACCAGTAGACAGCAGTAATCAGTGGTACGCTGATAAATATTCAACTGGCTCTCAAAATATAAGGCCCAGATTTAAGGCATCTGCCCCTTTCCATGTCATAAATATTCCCACCATGTCCAGTTCCAAGCTGCTAGTGTGAGATCGACTAGCTCACTTAACAACTGGCCCTTGCAAGCCAGCAGGAGCTGGCTCCACACCACGGCCAGCAGCTCTAAGACAACATAAAACCAAAAGGGAAAAGAGTCTCACAAGCAAACCATCAGAAACCATGCTTACATGTTTCATAAAAGCTGTGAGGCTCAACATCTTTGAGATGAAAACCAATGTCATTTGAACAAGGCATATTAAAAACTATCTCAAATTATCCCCCGCCATTTCCAAAGCCCTCATCCAGAGCAGGAGGGTCCTCTCCCGGAGCAGCCGCATACCTGGCTTTGAGCTTCCCAGCCACAGCTTCTGTGGGGTCAGGGACATTCTGTTACCAAGAGGCATGCTCTCTGCTGTCCTCAGAGATCGCCAGGATGCCACTTTTCTGGGCTTGGAGTGGTATGGTGACTCTAAAAAGCCAGTATATAGTTCTACAGGTGCCTAGGTATCAATGCCCCCAGAACACATGTGCTTAGGAAAGGCAAAAATTGGAAAACAAAACATTCAACCAGGGTAAAACATTCACAGAATAAAAACATTTTAATAAAAAATTTAAATATAGCTATGATATATGATATATATATGATATATATAATACATATATATACTTAGATTTGCTTTAAAATTTTACTGTAAACATAATGGGAAATTTATTTAGAGATATGAATCCACAATTCTACCAGTATTATAATATTTAACTTCCCATCCAATTTTTCCAGATATGTACATATTTTTACAGTCACAGTCATAATGAACACATAATTTGTATCTTTTAATACTTAACACTGTAAATATTTTTCATGTTGCTACATATGAACATAATAACATTTAAAACTTAATATGCAAACTATAGAGAAGAAATGATTTTTAATTTTGTCATAAAAATGAGGGAAACATTTTAAATTGCTTTTTAATCTGAGATTTCATCTCTTTAATTATGAAAAATATAATAGATTTGTATAAAACTAAATTATTTATAAAATATGCTTATATTTCTTAACTAGTGAAGAAATTTACATCTGTAGAAGGCCCTAAAAACCTAAGTCCAGCATACATAATTTAAAACATTTCTAAGTTTTTTCCATGGCTTCATAATGTATGGAATACTTCCCATTGTAACTTAGAATGAGGAGATAAAGACACACTAGACCCTGATGCATTTTCACTCACAAAGACCCTAGCATCCCCTCTAGGATATTCTGAAGGCTTTCCAAACTTTCAATACCCATTTAGGCATTCATTTACTAAATTAGTGATTAGAGAAAAGCCATGCAGATAGCACTGCTTCTGAAGTGTGTGATTTCTCAGTGAGCAGTAAGAGCTGCTTGGGAAAGCGTGTAGCAGTGGATGAAAGCAGGGGCCAGGGCCGGGCATGAAGCAGGCAGTGGCTGTGGGCTGGGCAGGCTGCCTCAGAAAGAAGACACCGATGGCAAGGGAATGCCACCACGCCAGCCACCATACAGCGCCTGGGGACCAAGTGTGTATTCTACATACACCCGTGCGGAACTGGTTTAGGCATTAAAATAAAATATTTATGAATGAAAGGACAGACAAGTTCTCTGTTACACCAGGAGTGGGGGACAGGGCGCCCCTAAATGACATCTGAGCTGAGCTGGCCAACATGTGCAAGGGTGGTTATGTGTGAAGGCAGGCCCCGGGGAGGCCTGGGGGCCCATCGAGGGCCAAGGAGCATGTGGCCTGAACCTTCCACTCAGCTGCAGCCCCAGCCCGGGGAGCCGAGACTGGTATGACGGGGGGCATGGGGACAGTTACAGCACACCCCTCAAGTCTTTGGGATTCCAGCCTTCTAAATTATGTAAAACACAATTCTGACATTTACAGGAATCAAAATAAAACTAATTTGATTATTACTATTCTCAACACTTGGAATGCTTGACTTCCAGTAAGAATGACTGAAGGAGGTCTAGTATCTTACCTTAGGTGCCTTCCAGTCAAAAAGGACTTATAAACAAAATGGTTCCAAAACAAGAAGGTTTAAAACACAGTCACCCACACTTTCACTTTACATCAGTTCTCAGTTTTCCCCATGGAATGAGAGGAACGACATCAGAAATCCAAATTGCTAGATGACTCCTTCCTAGTGTTTATATTGGATTGCCATACATGCCTTTCCTTCCTTGCAGGAATTTATCTGATTATGTTTCTTGAGGTCTAATATCAAAGTTCATTTGTGTTATCTGAATGTGTCATATAACACGGTATGTTTGAGATGTATATGAACATATGTATACATGTAAATACAGATACATCAAAGTCAGAAAAGGCTGGGATGTTGGCTAGCAAAAGGAAGCCAGTCTAGGATTTAAAGTTTGCGTTAAAGACATCCATACGGATCACACTACAGAGCCGTGCTAGGACAGACAGGCCGTGGCCGAATGTCTGTGTTTCCCCAAATTCCCAGGTTGAAGCCTCTGCTCCAGAGTGATGATGAGGGAGGCGGGGGCTTTGGGAGGTGACTAGGTTATGGGGGGGCCCTCATGATGGGGTGAGCCCCCCAGTGAAAGGGACCCCACAGAGCTCCCTCACCACTTCCCTTGCAGGCAGCTGCCTGCCACCCAGGAGAGGGCTGTGAAGCGACCGACCCTGCTGGGACCCTGGATATGGGCGTCCAGCCCCCGGACTGTGAGACGGGAATGGCTGTCGTTGAGAAGCTGCCCGGTCTATGTCACTGAGCCAAGCTGCTTAAGCCCCATCCCTGCAGTGACGTCCCGACAGCAGCTGCCAGCTTCATCACAGCCAAGGATGCCGTCTCCAGGGACGGAGCTGCCCTTCTGCTGAGGATGGGGACAGAAGAATCCTGCCAGGAAAAGCAGCCTGGCGCAATCCCAAAGGGAAAACCCACTAACTGCCCACCTGTCTGGAAAGGTTTACACCTCCTGAGGACGGTGCCCAGATGAGTGACCTTTACTCTCAAGGAACAAATCCTGAGGTTGAAAGTCCTTGCACTGTGACAGCGTCCCCATGAGGGGAGCCATTTGTGAAAGCAGAGCAGGTGAAACACAAGGGCCTTGAGGCCGGTGCTGCAGGAGGCCCTGGGACAGGGACCCCCAGGGACGACCCCCACCCTCAGCTGGGCCTGCCCACACTGGGATGGGGGAGGCAGTGACCCTAGACCCCAGCACAAACCAGCTGGGTGGCAGAAGTGGCTTGGTGATCTTAAGTGCTTCAAGACAAAACATTCTTAGGCAGGGATGGCTTCTACACTGTTTCCTGGGCTAAACTGCACAAGTCCAAGGGACTGGGACCTGGTGGTACTTACTTGGTGATGTGGGTGGAGGTTTGTGGAAACTTTTCCTTTTTGCTTTCTGGAAGAAAGAAGAAACCACGTAAAGCTGGTCCAGCCTCCCTGGGGATCCAAACGGCCCAGCTGTGAAGCACTGGGTGTCCAGAATGGGTGGAGGGGGCAAGGCCACAGGATGGAGGCTAACTCGGCAGACATGTAAGCCACATCTGAGCAAAGGAGACATGGGCACAGTGTGGGACAGGGGAGGCCAGATGGGGTGGTGCTTCTGGCCGCCCCAGCCTCTCCCAAACGGGGGTATGAGACCAAAGACACCAATAAACGGCCCATCTCATGCCAGTGCCTGGGGCCCTGGGATGCGACCTGTCCACCAGGGAGGGAACCCTTGGTTCCCTCATGAATAAAGCAAGCACAAACCCCACTGGGGAGGGAAGGTTGTGAGGAATGACCCCATCCAGACCACCAGCCTCTGTGTGACATGATGCTGGCTACAGACCGGGGCACCGCCCGGGCACTCCTACCTCATCATGGTGTGGCCGGGGCAAGAGGCATGCCTTCCAGCCTCATCCTCATCCGCTTCACACCAGGGAGTGCCTCACTTCTTTTCAGCAGAAACAGTGAACTCTGTTTCACGCAGGCTAAATTTTACCTGGGACGTTGGTGTGGATGCCTATTTCTGGGGGCAGTGTCCTGGGCCCATGTCCCCAGGGGTGTTGAGGGAAAATCCTGAATTCTGCAGAGGCTGCTCCCCTCACACATGCACTGGGACACTCCCTGTGGGGGCAGAGAGCTGACGTGGAGTGGCATTAACCACTGCCAGGCCCCCTCAGACCTATGTGCCTGCATGGTCTGTCAGATGGAAGACACACAGCGCTGCAGGTTGCCTTTGAACACCTGGACGAGCCTGCTTCCACTGATCACCTCCCTGCAGGCTGGCTCCCGGAGGCCCACAGACTGGGCCATGTGGTCAGGGCATGGCACAGTGCGCCAGAGCTGCAGCTGCCCAATAGTCTCCCCTCTCCCACCCCTGTGTGTCAGGACTGCAGCTGGGGTGGGGGAGTGAGGGCCGAAACCATACACGGGATAAGAACTTGTAAGCTGCCTCAGATGCACTCCATTCAGAACCAAACTTCTGGATAAAAGTTTTAAAATTATAATCACAGTTATTTAAATCCAACTAAGGGCTTGAAATTTTTCAAATGCTGAGTAGCATTTGGAATTTGTATTCCAGCTCTAAATGCAGCATATGTGGTAACACCCTATTGTACATGTCTGAGTGTTTCAGGGGCAAAATAACCCATATGGGGATAATATAGCTGCTGCCTCCCAGTTACACTCACCGTCTCAAAATCAGAGTCAAAGGTAATTGCAGAGAGACTGTCATCTCCCTGGAAGAGAAGCAAACATTAAGACTTCAAGACACCCAACAGTCATGCTTACAGAGTGAAAACAGTCTGCCCCAGCTTCTGAGGAAGAAACCCAAAAACTCCACTCGGGTTAAACCCAGAACGTTCAAAGCAAGCAGCAGCCAGCCTGCTCAGGTGCGCCAGGATGCGTAGGGGACACAAAATCCAAACTCCACCTGGCAAGGCTGCTCCACACCAGTCAGTCTAGCAACACCACATCCAGTGAACTGCTGTGCACATTTGATAAACAGTTCTTGATAAAAGTATTTCATTTTTCTCATTGTTTAAATGTTGTCTTATTCATCTTGCCATCAAAGCACGAAGAATATGTGCCTCTATCCTGCTAAGAACGAGTCAGAGTCACTTAAAAACACACATGTATAAGTACATGCACCATCTGGGCTTATAAATTTCCTGTCTTCTTATTCCACTGACTCGCCCTGGCCCAGCGAGTAAAATAAAATTTGTGCCATCTCACGACAGTGCTAGGATGTCAAGGAGAAAAGGGAACTTTCCCCAAGAGATCTGTGTTAACATACTCGTTTAAATCCTAGAAAAAGAGAAAGGAAAAATTTTAAACCCCTTTAAAATACTGTACAGTCGATTTACAATGTGGACACTGGGCGTCCTCTGCTTGCCCTGTTATGGACCAACAGCGCCACCTCTTGGCTGTAGAGGTAAATACGTTCCCGCGAGCAGACTGCAGTGTAGTTGAACCCCCAGGGCAGTATTGTGTGAGACTTTACAGCATTCTGAAAAGCACACAGACGGTCTTCAAGGTTAATTACCAGTACATTAAGCAACAATTCCAGCAGTTGGAGATTTTACTGCACGTTTACAGCGGCATGGTGACAGATAAGGGGCAAGTGTAAGGATTGTGCTCCTCTTCCACGTGGGAGTCCAGCAAAGTGCCACATACCTTGACGTGGCGTGGGGTCGCGGGTAATGCGTTCCAAATAAACAAAATCTTTAAAAAATTAGCCACACGCTTGGATTTTTTATGTCACTAAACAAGTGAATTTTAAGGTATAAATAGCAAATGACAATTATAGAGATAAATTTTCATTTAACAAAGTACATGAAAATGCTGTGCGTGCAAAATTTAGGATGGGAAGACAGGGACTCAGATACACATAAGTGGAAGATTAGCAGAGCCCAGCCAGTAGCTGTTTTTCTATCCCCTAGTGTCACCAAGGGTGTTGCCTGCCAACGGTGAATATGAACCTGTTGAAAATCACAATTTAGAAAAGTAGCAACAACTTGCTTTTGTGAATATGTTTCATTATTACTTGTTCTGAATAAAATCTTGAAAACTTTTTAATGACCTGAAATTTCAACAAATGGTGAGCTTGGATGTGTGTTGAACAAGAAGAAGTGGCCTCTTTCCAGGCGTGTGCTCACCCCAGCCATCATTTTCTCCCTATCAGTCCTCCTCAAATTTTGATACTCTCCATCCTGCCAGTCAGAGGAACTGAAGAGGCAAAATGTTGTAAACATCTGACAACACAGAAGAGCCCTGACCCAGCCTTCTGTTGGCATCACCCACCCCAGGCAGGAACGTCACTCCAGGAGAGCCACATAGCTGTCCCTGCTGCCAGCTCTCACGCAGTGGCACAGAGGTCCTGGGGGGGACATGGGGGGGAGGTAAGAGTTGTACCCAAGGGGACTGAGAGCGGAGAGCTGCACGCCTCCCAGAGTCCACTGGTGACATGGTGGGGAGCAATTTCGAGGCCCTCCCAGCTCCATGATCACAGCAGCAGAAAGCTCACTGGCAGAACAATGAGAAGTAATAAAGCTCAGAAGAGCCTTCCTGGGGGCACGGTCAGCCTTGATGGTCAGGGAGGCTGCCTGCAAGCACTAGATTGCAGTGCTGTGAGGTAAGTGCTGGTGTCTTGGTCTCCTTATGGAAGAGCTGTGCAAACCCTCTTGGCATTTAGGAGACCCTCAGCCCTTAGCCCAGGAGCAGGCTTCGGGGGGCCTTGGAAACATTCCTCATGCCAGCTCAATCAAAAAGGTGCAATCCCCATCTGCAATGGGGCCTTAGCACAACCTCTGAGCAAACACTGGCTAAACAATAAACTACACCGACTGAAAAGCAGCGCCGAGGTTCTGAAAAGCCAGGCTTACGAACAAAACCGCAAACACCCTGGGAGTCCAGAAGACAATGCGCACGTCCCAGGATGCCCTTTCAGGGCAGACGGGACAAGGAGAACCCAAGCTGCTAGTCCCTGGCTGCTCGGTGGGCAAAACTCCTGAACTGTGACAGCAGTCTCCCAGGGGCGTGAGCGTGCACACACGTAAAGGGCAGAAACCTAACTGGCTAAGGGGTTTAAACACAACCTTTGATCAACAAGTGGCTTCTGCTGACCCAAAGGTGACCCATAGATAGTTAGGCTAAAAGATTTTAAACAAGAAAAAATCAGAGCAAGGAATTGGAGGCTGCAGTGCTAGGTGATCAACTTCAGAGTTATTTCAGCCATGTCACTCATCCAATCAACAAACCACTCAGCAGAGGACATCAGTCCCATGGGGAGGAGGATCAACAGCCAGAAATGCTGCAATATAGTATCTAAATGTCTAGTTTGCAACAAAACATTATCAGACATACAGAGAACCAGGAAAGAGTGATCAGTGTACATGGAAAAAGCAGGCAGTGGATACTACTTTAGGAGGGACCCAGATATTGGACATAGCAGGGAAAGATTTCAGAGCAGCTGTTATAATATGTCCGAAGCAGTGTTGCTGTGAGACTCTTGAGGGTCCATGAGGTAGGAGAACACAGTGGTTATGAGCAAGCAATGGGCCAGGGGGTAGGGGGTGGGTAGCAAAAGCAGGTGACACAAAACCTTAAAATGAGTAAATGCTCAGTACGTACTCTTCTTCTTATCTTGTTCTAGAAACTGTAAGCCCTCTTACAAATGTTGGCTCCTAAATCACTGGTGACCACACCCAGGCTCTACTTCACCCCCGTGTCTCTGCGCTGGTCAGCAGGGCCCGTTTGCAGCCACAGCACAGGGAGCTCCCTGCACAGTAAGTGTTCTGTGATGTTAACAAGCAAGTCCAGGGGCATCTATTTCAAGGCACTTGGGGGTTTGGATGGACTGGACAGTGTCTGCCCTCAAGGGGTTCTTGTCTGGTTTAGAACAGATCTTAGCTCAACAGAGAAACCACCAGTTAGCCTGGGCTAAGGGCTGAGGGTCTCCTAAATGCCAAGAGGGTTTGCACAGCTCTTCCATAAGGAGACCAAGACACCAGCACTTACCTCACATTTGTGTCCTCAAAGCTGGACATATTCAAGGGGATTAGTAAATGCTTGTATATGTAAGAGTGTCTGCAGTAGCATTGTTTCTAATTGCAAAAAAGGGAAAACAAAAGTAAAAGCAGGGAAATGGATCAATAAAATGAGAGTACTACAGGTTAGTTTTTAAAATCATGCTCTTGAAAATGTGGGCATGTGAGAAAACGCTGACAACAATTTAAATGACAAAGGTTACAAAATAATATTATCTCAATTTTTTTTTAATGTATGGAAAAAAGATTCATTGAAAAAAGATTGGAAGTATATATAAAACATTAACTGTGGTTTCTGTAGGTGGTTATGTCAGGGTAATTAGTTTTCTCTAATAGGCATGAATTATTTCTATACTCACAATATAAGAAGTTACTTTTTAGAGATTAAGGAGCAGTAAGCAAGACCACTGTAGATGGGCAGGACTTCCGGATGAGGCACCACTAGGTGCCTTCAGGGACAAGTAGGAAAGGTCAGCTGCCCCAAGCAGTCAGTAGCAATGAGCCCCTACTCTGGGTAAGCTCTGTACAGTACAGCTGAGCACTGCCCTCTTGGCAAGAAGGAAGCAAAGTGGGCAGCCTTCCCTCTGGAACCCTCCAAAGGCTTCCCACTGTACCCTGAATACAATTTCAAATGCTTTGCATAGCCAGCAAGGCTCTCCATGGTCAGACCATGCTTACCTTCTGTTCATGCCCCTAACCCACGGGATCCCAGCAAGCATTCTTCCAGGTCCTGGGACACTTGGCACTTTGCTGCCTCAGGACCTTTGCACTTGCCTGTCCCTCTGCTCTCAGATCTTTACCAGACTACCTCCCTCTTGTCAGTGACAGCGCCAGGGAGGGTGGGAGCTACAGCGCTGTACTGGCACTGATCCCAGGCAGCCCTTCTCAGCCCACCTCCATCATTATTCTCAGCCCCAGTTATTCCATCCCATGCGCCTGTTTTGTTTTCTGCACAGCACTTTCCATGTTCTAACATGACCTGAATGCTCTGTTTATTGCTTTGCTTTCCCTTCAATGGAATTCAGTGTATGGGTCCGCACTGATGTCTCCAGCAGAGAGCAGACGCGCCAAAAGCACTTGGCAAAGGAACTAGCTGAGAGCCGGCTTGCCCTCACCCTAGGGCGTAAACTTGGGCGGCACCTCTTCCGGAAAGCCTTCTCTGATCAGTGCTGGGCCGGACCCTGTTCCTGGCACCTGCCTGGGCTCCCTCCCTCACACCTGGGTTGGCTCAGGCAGGTCGCCCCATCCATTGCCCTCGACCTGGACTCGGGGCCCCTCCTGGCGTCTGGGAGGGCTTCCTGGAAGCAGCGGCCTATGCAAGGACGGGCGGGGTCTAGAGGCTACGGAGGCCGAACGAGGTCCGCTCTGATGCGGTAACAATAATGGCAGCTGTCACCGGCAGCCGCGGGCACCGCGCCCCTTCTCCGCCCTCGCCCGGGCCCGCAAGCAGCGAGGAGACCCAGCCGCCTGCCCGCCGCCCTCCCGCGCTTACCATCTCCGAGGTTGGGTCTCCGGTTCCCAGCGACATGGCGGCGGCACTGCCTGGATGCCTCGCGGAGCTGCGGGCGCGGCTGTACGGCTCCAGGGCTCCTCCGGCTGCCGGGCCGCCTGCAGCCTCCAGGTTTGCCCGCGCGCCCGCCGCGACCCCGCTGCCATGGCAACCGCTCCGGCCGTCGAGCCCCGGATGTGGCGGCGCCTGCCATCCGGCTGACTGTGCGCGTGCGCCGCGGCGTCCGCCGGCTGACCGGGAACGCGCACGGCGGTAGGGCGACGTGGGTGGCTCTGCCTCTCGCCGGACCATGAGCATCGTAAGGGTTTATGAGGTTATCCTTGGAAGGTGCACGCGGCTGTGCAGTGTCACAGGCTACTAATTCCGGACGCCTGGCGTTCAAAAAATCATCTCTGACGTTCTCAGGCGCTGGAGTTCTGATCTAGTTAAAAGACAACAAAAAGTAGAGTGTGTCCTGCGCTCAATGCCTGTCATGAAGATCTTCTGGAGCTCTGGGCTTCCACGTTCACGGAAATTACTGTGAAACTATGGTTTACTCTCTCTTCATACACCAGGGCTGTGGGGCCGCAGGGAGCCCGGTGAGAGCCCTGGCTGCAGAGAAATTCCGCCAGAGCCCCAGCAACCAGCCAGCAAGGGAGCAAGAGAGTAAATATTCTGGGTTCGCCCTTCCCACTTTGCTCTGGCTGCCCCAGTCGGAAGCCAGAGGGCAGGAGAGGCCAATGATGTGGTCCTTAGACGTGAGCCTCCTGGGACACAGAGCGGGGCTGAGGGGAGAATGGAGCTGGGAGAGCAAAGGAGGGCCCCCAGCACAGGAGCCACGTGGCTGGAGCAGAGCCTGAGCACCCAGGTGGGGCGTAAGCAGCAGAGAGGGACGCCGAGCGCACCCCGAGCCAGCGACGACGCGGGCAGTGGTACTGAGGGACTCAGGGCAGCATTTACGGGACAGCCATTAGCTGACACGAGTCGGGCAGGGGTTGGCCTGCTTTAGTTGAATATAAGGGAAGGTCTGATTGGAGAGAAGAGGTTGGAGAAGTTCTTTGGAGGGGCCTCATGAATACTGCCTGTTTGTCGTGTAACCAGGAAGTATAGGATGCTACTGAAAATTTAGACTAGTGAGATGTGCTCAAAAGAGAATAAATAGCATCCCACTTATGAATGAGGCAGGAAATCCATTAGCACAGTTTTACGATCAGAAATATTAGCTGCTCCAATAAGTGGAGGATCTGAATGGCTCTAAAATACTTTCTCTCTGTTGGCATCATTACAGCTCATGCATTTTGTCGGTAATACCTCTCACAAACTATTCACATGTGAATAAATTACACCCGCTACCAATTCTGTAGGTGTTTATGTCAGGGTAATTAGTTTTCTCTAACAGTCATGAGTTATTTCTATACTCACAATATAAGAAATTACTTTTTAGAGATTAAGGAGCAGTAAGCAAGACCATTGTAGATGGGCAGGACTTCCGGATGAGGCACCACTTACTGTGGTGCCTGGTGGATAGTGACCGCTCCCTAAGTGATAGTTGTAATTGCTCTGTGATTACTTGTCTGTGTATCAGGTCATTTGTGATCTGTTTCCCTGCTTTTCTTTCCAGTTAAACCTTGACTTGTCAGAATCCTGTTTCCACAGGCTGCTCGTCTCTGCCCCCACACCTCTGTGCAGAGTTTTGTTCCGCCTTTCTGACCTTTCTGTTTCTCTAAATGTGTAAGTCTTGCACATCCTTCTGATGCCACCACAGCTTTATTTTCTCCAGAAAGCAAGATGTCTTCTTTGACCATATTCATCGTGCCTTTCCTTCCTCTGGAATCTGGTTGCTCTTTTACTTTATACCATTTATTTGGCACTTAACATAAACTTACTAAGCATTTTTTTCTTGGCTTTCTGTTTAACTTTTATGTATCTATGTCTTGTTTCTCTGAGTAGATGGTGAGTTTCTTGACGTGAAAGCAGTGATTAAGAACACTAGCTGTGAGCAGGACCTCCTGAGTTCACACCGTGACACCACCGCGTACTAACTGGGTGACCTTGACCTTGGGTACTACTTAATCTTGATGCGCCTCAGTCTCTTTACCTATCAAAAGATGATGATAGTGCCTTCTTTTTTGTGAGTTTAAAAGAGAAAATACTTAGTGCAGCCACTTACTAATTTAATACATACAGAGTTCTTGGATTAGTGCCTGGCATATAGTACTCAACAAATGTGTTGTTGTTATTAACATAACCCCAGTCCTAATGCTTCCTCCTACAATACTAGTCACACATAACAGATGCTTAATAAATATTGCTGAATGGGTGAATATTTCCCCTGCAGTACTCCTTTATAATTTTCTCTCATTCTGATTTTCTCACATGCATATAGCAGGAAAATTGAAAGTCTCTTTTCATTTACTTCTAAACCAAAAAAGAAATCCCATAGGTTTAAACAGCTTTACTGTCTGGTATAAAGAAACAAACAAACTACTTGAGAGAAACAATTTCTTGGTACTAAATTTGAAAAGGAATTTACTTTAAGATCGTGGGGAAGGATGCTGGTGGAGAGGGAGAGCTCGTTCTTCTAAAACTTACTTAACATGTTGTGATTAGGGAAGAAAATTCCATTAAACTCAGGAACTGTTATCAAGTAACATGAGAAGCCCAGGGGGACTCAGTCAGCATGGGATGGATTACACAGAGAGAGCTTTGTACCTGTCCCTGTCTCTGGATGTAGGATCCCTGGATGCCCCATCCTACAATACTAGTCACACATAATATATGCTTAATGTTGTTGAATGGGTGAATATATCCTCTCCAGTACTCCTTCATAATTTTCTCTCAGTCTGATTTTCTTACATGCACATAGCAGGAAAATTGAAAGTCTCTTTTCATTTAATTCTAAACCAGAAAATAAATCCCATGGGTTTAATCTTACCAAAGAGTAAGATTAGTGGTGTGTACAAGAAGGCAAGTGTAACCCAGAAACTGTGATCTGAAATTACCTCTTACATCATAAGTGTATTTTTGTCTTTGGGGAGCAGTGTTGTCAGTAACTTACTATAATTGCAATAACCACATCATTAAACTGTGTCTGCAGAGAGCATGGAAAATACATCTGCCCTTTACATGACAGTGTATCAGAGAATATATTAGACTTTTAAGATCAAATGCTATTTTAATAGTTTCCTATATATGAGTTAGGCATTTCAGTTACACACACACTTTGACATTTCCTTTAGAAAGTGAGAGCCTACCAAGAAATACATGTTGTTTTGTAGAATTAATAAGCCTGATGATAAGGAGCTGTTATACTGATTTTAGTTAGATATTCAGATGATCATTTAACAAATGATATTAAAATATCTGTTATTTTAGGATTAGAAGAAAGTTTTGTGCTGGGTTAGAAAATGGCTTTAAGACAGGAAGTAGGAATTATAATGGGCATTTCTCTCAGTGGAGGTCAGTTAGCAGACTATTAAAAGGCCCTGGAATTTAATATATTTTATAAGTAATATGGTTATATGACACCTCATAAAGTAATGTTCTATTTTTTGAATGACTCATTTTGGAGAACACAAAATCAATGGAAATAAATTATAGGAAAACAGAAATATTTCATGAACACACAGAAGAATTGTAAATAATAGTACAAAGGAGTTAGTAAAAACAAACAAAAATAAACTGAATCATATTGTTTATAAGATGGCTGATATTATTTAGGCAAGAGCTGGGAGTCCCTGTAGCTTATTCTTAGTGAGAGACTTTAAGCCTATGAAATTCTTGATACATCAATAAACACTTATCCAGGAGGTAGCCTATATAGAAAAAAAGAAATTAAGCAAAGTAAAGAAATTTGGGAATGATAAATCTATGGAGTTATATGCTTTAGGAGAAACTGTTGAAACTTCTCTCTTTTGCTCCTTTCCCCTCCTCATCCAAGAGTCTCTCTCCTCTGTGCATGTCCCAGGCCTGCCAGCTCTCCCTGGAGCCACTGGGCACCGTTTCCCCTGGGTGGCCTCTTGGCTGAAGACAAACCAGCGGGCTGCCTATGCTGTGTCACAGGGTCACCAATGAAAAGACTAGCTCTAGACGTCCCCTAGAGGGGATAAAGGAGGTAATAGGTCCTCACGTGCATATATCATCCTTATCTGTACACACCACATATCTAAACTGACCTAGATAGGAAATGAATTATTAATCATGGAAAATATATGGGGAGGTTAAGTTCAAACAACTGTTGGTCAAATTTGACTTTTATCTTGGCCTGGTAAGTATCTAATAACTGACAGAAAACTACACGTTTTCCCCCATTTAATTTAAGTGCTGTGATTAGAATCCATTGTTTTTCATAATCTCAAATTGTTTAAACGTTCATTCAGAATGTGTTTATAACAAGACAGCCAATGTTGGTATCTGATGATCTGAATTCGGCTCTGGTTTTTATGGGCCTGTTGAGATGTCCTTTCTGTGTGTTTTCATTTTTGAATTTAATTTGAATCTCATAGAAAAAGATTTCAAAGAAGAGTTATGAAATTCATAAATACACAGCAGATTAAAAACGAATGTCAGGATGGTGTTTCTGTGTGTGCATGTGCGTGTGTGCATGAGTGTGTGTGTGTGAGGTGGGGAAGTGCCACAGAACAGGGGGGGACTCTACGCAGGGGGTAAAATAGGAAACAGCTTATTGAAAGACCTTGTCAAGTACCAGGACTGTGGGATGTAGAATGAAGTGTGTGTGCAGCAGAGAGCCAAGCCCTCCCGAGGCCAGGAGCTGAAGGTGTTAGTGGCATAGGGGCTTCTCTGGTGCTGGTACAACGATCCCAGTGCCACTCCCCACTGTGAAAAGGGCCGCATCTCACCACATGCTCTCTTCTTTCAGATCAATGACTCCAACAGCCACCTTGAGGAGGTGACTGAGGGGGCTGATGCCATCGCCTCTGTGAACAATCTGGGATGCAAGCAAGCCTTGACTACAGATTACCTGGATTTTCTGGCTACCAAAGAGGAAAGCTATACCCATTCTCCCTTAGCAGAGATCTCCAAATGGTCACATTCACTCTCACAAATGCAGCTCCCATGACCCCAATCTTCCAGGAACAGTGGTACATGAATCTCAACAGCCTGATGGAGCAGGCACTGAGCCCACAGTGTGGCAGCGGGGAAGACCTATGTATCACCACAGGCGCTGTGCCCTCAGACCGCAAAGTTAAAGATAAAGTGGCCATCCCTGAGTTCGTCTGGCTGGCAGCCTGCTGTGCTGTCCTTGGAGGAGGCTGGGCCATGGGTTTTGTGAAGCATACCTGGGACGGTGACATCATAGAAGATGTGATGGTGAAAGAACTTGAGAAACTGCCTCCATTCAGAAGCAGTTTCAGAACAACTGTGGTGAAACTGAGCAAGACACAGAGAAAATGAAAAAAATCTTGGAAATGGTGAACCAAGTCCAGGATGAAGAGCGAAGGGCCAATCTACGGAAGGCTCCAGCCCCATCTCCAGCACAAGGAGCGAGGGATTGGCTGTCACCTGCAGAGGCACCTACGGATGGGAGCGGCTTTTGGGAGAGGCTCATGGGCTTCATTGCCACCCCATTCATCAAGCTCTTCCATCTGATTTCTTACCTTGCAGTAGGAATCCTGAAGAATGTTGTGTATTTCCTGTGGTATGTCACCAAACAAGTGACCAAAGGCATAAAAAGTTGCCTTTACCACCTTGGTTCTGCCACCATCTCATACTTCATTGCCATCGGGGACGAGCTGGCGAGCATTCTCTGGAAGGTGCTCAGAGTCACGGCCAAAGTCATCAGGGCCATTCTCCGGATCCTTTTGCTGTCTGATGAAGGCCATTTGCCGCATTCTGGGTGTCCCAGTCCGAGTCATTGTGGATGTGGCCGCTTTTCCCTTGTATATGGTGGGTGCAATTCCAACTCTGTGCAAGGACATTGCCGTGGACCTCGGTGGCACCCTCTCTCTGCTCTTTGACACAGCTTTTGGCACCATGAGTGGCCTTTGGGTGGTTTTTGGCGTCTGCAAGAGTATTGGCTACAAGGTCACTTTTGACAATTCTGGAGAGTTAACAAAACTCAAAAGACTAATAGTGCCCAGTTGCAGTGAATATGATTTTTTAAATAGAGGAAGCTGAAATATTTTGTCTTTACAGTGGGTTTTTGTTCCCTGTCAATTATCATCATATTTTGGCCTTGGTTAGGGGGTGTCTGCATGTTTTTGCCTAAGAAGATGGTACAATTTAGACTTGACCCAAGAGAAGTGCTTCTGGTGGGATTCTGTATAGGTCATCTGCTGAGATATGAGCAAACTTCCAAGCTATTAGAATCTTTAGTTATTCACTCTGTTACAGATTAATTTGTGGTAATTAAAAATTACAGAGGAAAGAAGAATTAGAATGAGGTCAACTTTAAGCAAAATGTTTCTGGGAAAAGGAGAAAAGAATCTTGTTTCTCCTATTACTCTATGAGACTTAAGGCAAAACTGATATAAATATTCTTAGCCAATTTGTTATCATATGTTTTCTTCCTCTCCAACTCATCTGGACTTGGTGAAGTGACAACATGCTTCCCTGTTGAAATAACTTTCTTAGAGATGTAGAATCTGTTATACCCCTTAGCTTTCCATCTCTCCCAAGGACCTGTCTTGGGTTAATATTTTCCTCCAAAGTTGAATTTTGTTGCATTTGTCTTTTAGGTAATGATAAACATTTTACATCAAATGAGGCATAACCAAGTTTGAATGCAAGGGCAAAAACTCTTTATTTCTTGAACAATATAGTATAGTTCTCTCTGGTATAATGAAGAGAGTGCAGGGCTCACAGCCCTGCTGTGAGTAGGTGCTATAAGTCTGAGGACATCCTTAGCAAGCTTGGATTAACTCGATGTACATCAAATCTCTGGCTAACAAGATTGAGCTCAGAGATCTACATTTTAGGCTAATATGAAAATTCATATTCTGCAATATATTTGTTTGGTCTTTCTTATGCATCAAGTAAATACCTAATACAGTAAGACACTCTGACTTCTGTCCTTAATGATTATTTTTGTATAATAGATTGTTTGGGATTGTTGAGTATAAATGTATAGAAAACTAAAGAAAAACTAAGCATCTCAGAAAAAAATATATCCATATCCACTTATATCCCAGTTTATGTGGGTATAAACTTGCTAAGAATCATTCTCTCCTAGGAAATTATTTTTAGTGTGTTTGAGGCTAGAAAACATAACCTTCCCATTAATGCAAGCTTGATTTGAGAGCTAATCCCCAATTTTTTGATCAAGCATTGGTCATTTTAAATCTTGTGCTGAGAAAGAAAACAGAACCTCCCAAACTTTTCTCTGCCATTCTCAGCCTAGATGGAATCACCTTGGTTTTTCTGAGGGTTCTAAAGACTTGCTGTGAGGCAGAAAGGGGCCAAGTGTGAAATACTGATCTGGGGGTTGCAGGCCACCAATTTTATCTGACCATTAGATGCAAAAACTTGGGATCCAGAAAGGCAGTAAGGAGAAAGTGATGGGTCAACTATTTGCATCAGGTTGGTTTAAGAAATGTAAGTGTAGCGAGAGTTACATTTTGCAGAAAAATAATTGAATTGCACCAGAGTAGAAGAGTAGCCATGCTAATCAGTTAGTGGTGCAATGTTGGGGTCTGTGAACACTGAACTGGTGCATGATAGAGAAATATGCACTAGACTTATCTAAGAATCTTAAGCAGTGTTTTACCAACACTTCTGTTTGTGAGCATATAAATCTGTAGCTGGGTTTCCCTTCATTTCAGCAGCAGGAACACACACGGAAGGGTGGGGGTTTGCCTTAGTGCTGATGGGTCAAGAATCTTGCTGGATGAAAAAGAGATCTTAGGTGTGACCAGGGAGGTGCTCTGTCCAAAGCCCCACGTGATGGGGGACTTGAGGCACAGGGAGACAGCAGGCTTGCCTTCAGTCTCCTTGCCAGCTGATGGCAGATTCGCATGTGTCCTGTTATACTTGGGATGCCAGAGACGTGGTGTGTGTCACTGTTCACCTGCTCCCGTAGCAGGGTCTTCTCCTTCACCCGTCAGACAGACTCTAGGCCCTGACTCATCAACTGGATTCATCCCATGTGATGAAACAATTAGCCCTCCATGCACTGCGCCATGCTTACTGCCTCCCGCAGAACCTGTGTTCCCTCACTGTAATGGATGTGAATGCTGAAAGGCCCAAAGAGGGCAACCGTGGCATCTGGAGCCCGTTGGCACCATGCAAGGAGCAGGGCATCCTAACTGCTTCTTGAGAGCCATTTGGAAATGTCTTCTTTTTTTACTCTTAGTTATTTAGTGTCTTATTTATTTATTCTTATGTGGTCTTTTTTGAAATTGGGGAAGGGATTTAAAGCACAAGTATCCTTCAGGTGAGGTGGCTGAGACCCTCCACTCTGGACTACTGGGGTTGGCTGTGCCTCCAGTTCACCGGCGCCAGCCGGCAGCTGCCTGGGCTGATGCACCCCACCTCTGGTTTGAAGATTTGTCTGTGGCTCTGTTGTGTTCTCTGGCTCTTGCGGAGATTGCCAACTCTTCAGTAGCATGGAGCTGATTTTCTAGTCTGGGGACCAGCCACATGTTTGCACACTCCTTTTTTCCATTGTGCCTTTTGAATGGCTTCTTACTCAGCATCCTCACTCCCACCTAAATGCAGAGAAGGAACCAGAGCTCAAGCAATCATTCACTCAGTCATTCATCTATCAAATGTGTATTTGAACATCAAGTTTCCAGAGATCAGCAATACATGGATCCTGTCCTTGAGTGCAAAAATTTAGTGGGGAGAACACATGGTGCAATTGGTACATGTGACATCATGATAAATGTTACCATGAAGGTACTAGAAGCATGCTCCCTAGAGCACAGGAGGAAGCACCACAGAACCATGGAAGTTAGGGAAGCCTACAGAGGATGTGGCAAATATCAGTTTGACATTTTCAAGCTATGTACAATGCTGTGCACCTTGCAATGCTCAATAAAGTAACAATTGACAACTCATTAGCTGTTCTGTGAAGTATCTAAAAGTGAAGAATCCTAGTGATTGAAATAAGGTTTGGGGATTATCTGTAATTTTTACTTTTTTCCATTTTCTTCCTGATTCATAAATCTGGATTTTTCAGTTTTTTTAAACGTTTTGAATCATATATGAGAAAACAAGGTTAGATCATAAAACAGGCCATATTACTAATTTTCAACGTTGTTTCTCTGAAAAGCTATTTGGGACACCAAGTATATGTGACATGTCCTTCATAAATAAGCATGAAAGGCTTATCGTTTCACTGATTCTGAATCACATAGAAAATAATAGAAACACTCTTACTGATTCTTGTTCATTAGGAGACCCTCACAGTGTGAGAAACAATGAGCCCTCTCTGGCGGAGGACCTGTCCTTTCTGGGGTCTTTCATAGGGCACCTCCTTTGGGATGAAGGGGGCAGGAGTTCTTGGCTGCTTTCCCAGTGTGAGCGGGGTCTTATGCATGAGTCTGTGTCTTGTTAAGCATTTTCCCAAAGCTCACCACACGATCCATGTTTTTCAAAATGTTAAACTTAGAGCAACGCAGTGCAGACTGCTTGACTTTTCATGGATTCTTAGACATCTCGTTGTCTCTGGGGGTATTTTCCTCCAGATCATGGCTTGAATTCTAACAATTACATTCCAAACCGATTATTTTTAATGCTTGAATTTCAGCACAGAAAGTGTTCATGACCACTTGTCATCATTGATGTGTTCCATGAATAGGAGTCTCCCTCTCACGAGGCAGATCAAGGTCAGTCCCAGAGGCAGTAAATGTCTGATGGTTAAGAGCCCAGGTTCTGGAGTCCAAATGACTCAGGCTTGAATCCTGACTTGACACCTAACAACTGTGTGGTGCTGGGCAAGTCAGCACCCAGAGACTCGGCTTCCTCATCTATAAGGTGGGGTCATCATCGCACCTACCTAGGAGGGCTGTGGTGAGGACTCCATGAGCTAATGAAGATAAAAGCGTGCATCCCCATGCCTGTCGCAGGTAAGTGCACTGAAAGGTTAATTGTTGATATAGCTATGATTGGTAACAATATCCACACATCTTGGATGAAATGGGCTGGAAGTTGCCTTAGAGCTCAGGATGTTTCTAGATCAGAGCTAGAAGGACTGGGGTTAAAGGACAGTCTGGCAGTGAGTGAAAATGAAGGAATCCAGAGCCTCATCAGTGGTGGTGATGTATCTGAAGAATTGAGGCAGGGTTGAACCTTGAGTCTAGAGACAGGAGGCTCTGGGAGCAGGCGCTGTGTGTCTCCAGCACCCCAGAAAGGGAGGCACGAGCATTTCTGACCTCTGGAATAGAGAGGGATTTTTCCCTCTAGGACCCTTCCTTGCTAAGGCCACAGTTTTATGACAGATTTGGCTTCCCAAGATCCCTGCTATCCTCAGAGTTAACTAGACAGAGAGTATGCACATTGTAGCAGCAGAAAAAGATGATGGCCCCACTGTAAATAGTCATTCTTCTTAACTACTCAGCCTCTTCTGGAGTTAAGGCAATATGACTTAGTGCCCCAAACTAGTTGATCCCAGTGTATTGATTAGGCAGAATGTCTGGGCCCCCATAGTGATCCACAGGCCTTGGACTAAAATGATCACCCACTTTTCCTCACCAATTCACACTCACTAGGTACAGGCTCAAAGAGGCCTGCCTGTCATCCTGGTGTCATCTTTGGCTGATCTCAACCCATCTGTGAAACCTACATCCAAAGCAGATGCTGACAACACGTTTGGACTTCGGAGGCTTGAGAATGATAGAAAACTGTTTGCTATCTCCAAGACTGCATAACAATTTTTTAGATAGGAGATCATTTTTATAAAGAAGAACCCATATTAATCAGGTGAATCAAAAGATATAATTTTGATGATTAATTAATAAATTTAAGAGACCTCCTTATCCTGTGTGTCCTGTTTTGGTCCACTTAGTGGATCATTCAGATTCAAACCTTAAGAAAGAGGCATCCTGGCAGGTGCTCAGAGCTTGTGGACTTCGCTTCTGAGCTACCCTTTTCATTGGCAAGCCCCACTCCCTCCTTCTGACCCACTTGCTTGATGTCTTTTCACCCTCTCTGCTCCCCACTCCAACTGGTGCACACACATTAAGTGCTTTCTGGTTTTTTAAGATTTGGCCCTTCAAGACCAGTCTTGATTCTTTTTATCTTGATATAGTTACACCCCAAGAAAGATCACTTTTCCAACCCTACGGACAGCTGGCCAGACTGCCCCAGCCACAGGAGTCCTGCCTCATGGGTCCCTTAACCACAGCCAGAAGACTCCTGGGCAATGAAGGAGGAGTTTACATGGGTAGCAAAGGGGCTTTGGCCCATGCAACCACTCAGAGTTAAATTTACATGATTTTACAAGTATACAAAAATGTAATTCATGCTTAATGAAAAAGGCTTTGGAATAAATACAGTAATTTGGTGGTGGGGATGTAGAGTGATGTCTAAACATGTTTTGCACCAGCCCTTGTTAAGATTCTCTTATGTGTTGATAAGTGCTTCCTAAATACAAGTGTGATTTTGGATACTCCTTGCCCATCTGAAAAATTTTCAGCTTCCTTTTCATTGAAGATGGTAGACTCACCCATATAAGTCTAGAGTTTGCAGAAGTACTTTCATGTACAGGCATTCACCTGATCTCCTCAAACACTGCATATACTGGAGTATTGGCAGGTCCACCCACATCCTCTAGACTTTGACAGCAAGAGTCTCAGCCCCTGTCCTCTTAGTGAGTATTTGATTTTCTCTTGGACAGGAAAAGGGCACACTAAGATGGTCCAATATTCACTATAACAGATTTTTTTTTAACTTTCTGGGTGCACAAAGAATTTCCATCCAGTGCTGTTTTGAACAATGACTCTGATTTGGAACATCACTATCTAGAACCATCCCACAGACTCCATGTCATGTAGGAGAGGCCATGTCCTAACAAAAGCTTCCAGAGCTTCTGGCATCTTTGGAAAGAATAAAGAGCTCAAGATCAAGTTTGCTGTGAGTTCTGCACTAAAGTGCTTCTATAAGAGCTATGGTACAGGGTTTTAGTTTTTTTGGTTGTGTGTGTATGTTTGTTTTTAAGCTTATATTCTGGATTCTGTAGACCTGGGTTCAAGTCTTTGTTCTCCTATGACACTTTTGGGAAAATCTTTAAACTTTTGTAAGCTTTAATTCCTTATATACCAAATGTGGATAATGAAAGTATCGAACTCATAGCATTTTCGTAAGGATCAAATGAGATAATGTATTTCATAAACTACAAAGTATCATAGAAACATATATCTTTATTATTATAGGACACTCCAGGGTTGGTTCTCTTTCCTTAACAATTGCTGCATAGTTCATTTTTTAAATGGTGAGTAAATGTAGATGCCAAAGCTTCACCAAAAATTGATTTTGACAATAGTTGTTGAACATTATGTCCTGGGAAGGCTCTGAACTTAAGGTCCTCAGAATTCTGCCTCTTATCTACCCTTAAGTCCTATTTTCTTAAAACTCAATAAGTCCCATCAAAGCACACTGCTCTGCACACACCTCATGGCCCATTTGCTTTCCTCCTGTATGAGTCAGTGAGCTGCATCCCTGAAATATTAGACTTTGAAAAGGAGACCCCATATGAGTCATATAACAGGTGCCAGAAAGTAAAAAGTCACAAGGGAGCCTTTGAGAACTGGCCAGAGCCTCCCAGACTTCTCCGGCAGCCTGCTAGTGAAGACCAGTCCCAACCTGCCAGCTGAGTGTTCCCCAGGAACACCAGACAGCAGCCCCAGAGATTATGTTTCTGGAGGTCCTTTCAAGTGTGGGATTCCCTGGGATATTTGTCGATTCGGCACAGGCAGGTGTTCCCTCTCACTGTATCTAAAGTACACTTCCAGGGAATGGAGTTCAGAAGTGAGGAGTCCGCAGGCTCCTCAAAGGTCAAAGGGGAGGGTGCTCCCGGAGCAGAGGAGACCTGAGTTTACTCCGTGTGAGTCACGGCACCTTTTCCAGATGTCATCATTGGTGTATTTGCAAAACAAGAAGAAAGGGATAGACAGGACCATCTTTAGAGTCTTGCTAAATTGCAGATAATAAATCTTTGCTTCTCAACAAGTACTTTCAGATCATTGAGTCACAGAAATTCTGATCAAGTTTTTTCAACTTATCTCTCCTATTTGAGGGTTTACCAGAAGTCAGAGAAATCCCCTGGGACATTATCGGGCAGGACAGTGAAGCATCATTGTCATTATTATCATTATCAGCATTTCCTCTTTCCAGACTTGCAAAATTAATTAGCAGGGTTACCCTTGGCCGAGCCAACCTGAGAGCATTTAAGAAATGCTATAATACTCTGATCTCAGTAACTCCCCCAGCAGCTCACCATGTTGCCAGAAATCTCACCCTTAGACCCTCTTTGTTTCCTATGAAAATACAGAGTCTGAGGAGAGTTAGCACACGGTGTCAATACTAGTAACTGGGAACAAATGAACTTATGAATTCCTTCCCACTAGCTGGGACTACTCCCTCTCACAGTGCTTGTTTGGGGAGGTAGGAGGTGTGGTGGAGACACCGCCTGGGGGGGCAGCGAGGCTTGTTTTAGACTTGCTGCCTGTAGGCCAGAGCCTTGCCCTGGAGAGCTCTTCATTGTGAGGGCTGGGGGAAGAGTGAGGTGCTCTTAAAGATCTTAGATGCGACACCAGCAAATCGCTGTCTACATGTTGAATAGAAGAGTCCCCCAAATAAGATCAAAGTAGAAGCACACACCTGAAAGAAGTGACAAGGCTGTTGGGCCTGTTGCACATGTGGCCAGCGGTGTGTGTGCTGGTTAATGTGGAGCAACCAGCTTTCTCGGGGTGGAGACGGAGCACCCTGGTTTGTAATGTGTGCTAGTTTCTCTGGTATAAATTCTCCCACCATGGCTGATTCAAGCTGCCAATAAGACCTCATTGAAAGCAAAGTAGGAGACAGATGCCCACAACCTGCATTCCTGAGCTGGCTCAAG